TTGTTAAAAGTTTATGTGTCATTTTTATATTTAACAGTATGTATGAAATTATGAATGATTATTTTTACCAATTTTACAAAATATAAAATTTTTTAAATTTTTCGGTAATTTGCGTTTTGAATGCTAGAATATGTAGTTGCATGAATTCATGTTAGTAATTTTCACCAGACATAGGATCTTAATTTTCCCACTTTTTTTAAATTTTAATTTAAGGCTCCAAGAGTTCCTCCACATGGTTTACAGGTATTTTCACCTCAAGAAGCTGAAATAACTGCTTCTGCAGGAAGTCCATATCTTGCTACTGTACAACCTGGTAAGAAATTATTTTCGTAGTTAGATAAACATTCTGACTGACAGATTAATATGATTTTAGCAATATACATTCCTCGTTTCTTAACTGAGAATTGCTTTTAGATTTAAACTTATGAATTTAAATTTATAAAATTTTAAGTAGATATCATAAAGTTCTATGCATGATAAAATTTACATTATTTTATAATACATGATATTTTAAAAAACTATAATTAGTAAAATTTTTAATTATTTTTTTTAATCAAAAATAATTAATAAATATAGTTTATATTGTTGTACATTAAAATTGATTGATCTCTTATGAATGAATGAAATTTCACAAACACTCTTAAACATTGAATTGAGCCCTATTAGTTTGGCAGTACACACGGTGGTTTTTTGCATGTTACGTTCACATGTGCTAAAATATGGTCAGGGAATTACTATTTCCAAGCACAGTATTGCATAACAGGAGGGAGATGTCAAAAGTTCAACCTCTATTGCCATACCTTGGACCTCTCTTCATACACATTAGCTGTATATTCAAGCAACACAACTTTCTCCTGTTCCTCTCCTTTGCTACCAAATTTACACACTCATCTGCAATGATCAGGATAAACTTCTCCACCTTTGAAAATTTGGAGTTTATGCTGTGTTGTTAGAGAATCCTATAACGAGGATGAATACAAGGTATTGGAATTGGGGCAACAACACAAATGCTTACCAGCTGCCTGACTAAGCTTCAAAAAGACCTTGTGAGAGGAAAGCCTATCATGGAGCTTGAGAAAAAAGGTGCTCAAATAGTTTGATATGGGCTCAAACAAAGCTACTCAGGTACTGCAGCAACCAGAAACTCATTTGCATATTGGAATCTCTCTTTACATCAACCTTGGAGCCATGTAACACATTCACACTTGAACTATCCAGTGTGTGAGTGTATTTAGCCATTTATATAAATGGTTAAATAGTAATATTCATCTGCCATTCCACTTTGATGTGGGTGCATACTCACCCATGCATTGCATGATGTTTTAAATTATTGCATAATTGAACTTTGAATATACACGACAACTTTTAATTTTGATTTAAATGATATTTATTCCATTTACATTAAAATATTATGTTGTATATTTTAAATCTTCATCACCTGAAGATGATGAATACAGTGATACCTCTGTTTTCATCAATAATTCGTCAGAAAACAATCGGTGAAATCCAAAACCAATTAATTCGTTGTAGACACTCCAAAATGCATACCAAAAACACATTTTAGAGAGAATAAATTTAATGTTTAATACTAAAAAGAATAAGAAATTAATATAAAGTGAATATAAAAGACTAATATGTTGGCCTCTGAAACAGAATCGCCATCTAACAGTTCTTGATTGATCCAAATTAATAACTGTTTGACATATTCAACTGTTTGCGATTTCTGTTTTGTTAGCACATTTACGCCTTTTGCTACATTAGCCTCCTTTATTGCTTTCTTTTTTGCCACAATGGAAATTACTGTAGATGACAACTTCCCATACAATACATATGGCCGATTTCAGCAGTCTTAACCTATTTTGTGTTGAAATTTTTCTCCATTGCATATGGTCGCCATGTTGAATTTTTGTCAATGTTAAGCCTAACTTGAAATTTTTTTTTAAAACTAGCTTACCCGTCACACATTGCAGCGATCGCAGAAGAAATGAAATTCAAGCAAACTTGTTATAATAAAATTTAATTTACATTTTATCATTTTTTATTGAAACTTATTATTATTATAGTATTATTATTATTATTTATTTTTATTGGGAAAACATTTCAAAGTGTCATTTCAATTTTATTTATTTATTTATTTATTGGAGTACTTGTGGATACACGATATTTTTTGTTTTTCCGTCTTGTGCGTACACGAATAAATTGGAAGGTTTTCCAACGCGTGAGCTGGCCAATTACAGTTGTCCATGTGAGAAGCATGGATTCTCCAAATCTAGCCCACACTTGCAGCGATTGTCAGAAGAGCGATATTCCCTATTTTTATATATATTTTTTAATCCTTTACAATTTTAATTATTTAATTGCTCCTTCCTCTCTTCCTTGGCATGTTGTGAAATTTCTGATAGTTGGATAATAAACCATTTTATTGTAATTTGTCTTTTTAAGGTATTTTGAGTTGATATTAAAATTTGGAAAAGGGGGATTCCTAGATCGGTAAAATAGGCGAATTTCCTCCTACAACTTCGGTTGTTGTTTGGGATACAGTTAAGGTTTTAAAAAAGTTTGAACGAATACATAATTAGCAAAAAATAGTTGAAATAAAGTGATTAAACAAAAATTATTACAAATATCGTAAATAGCAGTTCACAAATGCATGTATAAAGAAATTTTTGGAGGGGGGAAATGGTATTCACAATTTGAAATTGATCAAACACAATGAAATGCTCGTATACACTTGTGCCATCTATCCTAGGATAAATGTACTATGCCAGACACCTTCGTGGGAGTATATTAAACAACTTCCCAAAGTTTCACGGCAATTGGATAAACGGTGTGGTAATGCATGAAGGACAGACAGACAGACAGACATTTTTATATATATAGATAATAATCGTGGCGTAAAAAATTATTTATTTTTCACAAACAAAATAGATACATTAATAAATATAAAAACAAAAAAATTATATTGCCAGAGTTTTAATATAAAAGTTATGGCACAGCAACATCTAGTATAAAAAACGTTCCGATGCAGAAATGAATATATTTGGGGTCAACCGGGCAGGTCAAATGAGGTCAATATGAAAATATTTAGGAACAGCAAGGGACAGGTTAATGCTGCTCTTGTATTTTTCAATGATTTCCTTCTTCAACTCATTCATGTTCCTGGCTCTCGAAATTTTCTTTAGTCCCATGATGAAGCTAAAAGGAAAGCAATGGAATTATTTGACCAGACATGCAGGGTAATACTCACACAACAAGAAACAATAGGTCAAAGTAGGAAAATGCATNTCTTTTGAATATTTGAAAATTCTTATACATATAAAAATTTTTGAAGCATTCCAAAATAGAATCTCAAAATTTGAACAAAGTTCAAACAAGAAAAACCTGAAGCATGCTTCTCAAAAAAGCCAAAAATGTTTGTAATGCATACAACTATCTGCTGAAAAAGTAAGCAATGTGTATTAATCATTATAGTTATAAAAACTAATTACTACTGTGTGGTTATGAATTCATTTTTCAATTTTTAGTTTTTTCTTTAGGATAATTTTTATTAACATTTATATGAAAAGTACCGTATACAGTAGCCATAATATATAGTAATATGCTTATAAAATAGAGCAAATTTTATTGGCTATTACTGAGCTTAGGAATATTATTTTCTACTTTGAGATTGCTTATAAAATGAAAAAATAAATTTGAAGTTTTGTATATATGCAATGTTTTTTGCATTCAATATTGTTTTGACCATCACTTACTAAAAACTGGGAAAACACCAGCAAATTCACTTTCTATGATAAAATTGAAGATTTAAATATAAAGACTTAATTTTTACAGGTGTGTGACTAAATTATCAACTTATGAAACTGAATCATATAGAGAGTTTGGATTCTTAGTTCATAGAGCTTAGTTCTTAGTCCAGAAAATGATAAATGAAAAGTTTATTTGCTTTTATTTTATTTTTAATTTATAGATTTTGCTTGTGACAGTGAATAGAATATTTATACATTTGATTCAACTTTAAGTCTCTAATCTTTGTCAGAATCATCATTAATGATTGACAGATAGCTCTATATTCTTTAGATATATACTTTATGGTTAAAATAAACTGTTGCAAGGAAGTTCTTTTTCATATTATACTTAAAGTTCCTCATTCAATTATTTCTTTTTGAGCTTTAAGAAGTTTTCAGAATACTCTTTCTTCAGCTTTATCAAAGCCAGTCATTTCCTCAATGACTAAGTCTTTCATTACTTCTGAAACTTTATTAAAGATTTCAAAACTTTTACACACTTAAAACAGATTTATTATGTTAAATATCATTCATACAGACAGATGATGATATCTGTAATATATCAATGGCATCTCCAATGTTGAATTTTTTTTTATGGATTAATCACCATTATTTTGGCAGTAGTTAAAATTCCTTCAGTTCCTGTCCGAGCTGGAAGAACTTTAACTACTGCTACACCAGGCACATAGTCCAAATATTGTGCTACGTAACTACCATCTATTTCAGTTGACTGGACTCTGTGCAGGACATAGTTTGTCAATGCAAACCAGATTGAGGCTGGGGTCTAGCAGTTTTTCTTCTCAAAATTCAAGAAATGATAAAAAGATAGCTTTATAGAATATAACAGGTTATATTTAGATTTTATATATGATATAAATTGAAATAAAATTCCTATAGTGATCAAGAATGTATGGGACATTCTCTGTATATAAAAAAACAATTTATAAATAATTGTTTTGCAAATAAAAGTTAAATTAGCATTTTTTGCCTTGTTTTAGCTTTATAATTAATATGTTGGGTTTAGTGGGATATATTCAGTTCACACCGGTGGCTGTGTACTATGCCTGATCAGAGTCAAGGCATAGTAACCAAAAACTAAAATTAAATAAGTGTGCCAGTGTCTGTGTCTGTATTCAGGAATTTCCTAACAATATGGCATGTATTCAATATAGTGGCCTTCTGTAGTGTGATGTATGTATTTCTATTCAATTGTAATGTTTTCAGGCTTTTGTGTAGTGTGTGTACAGGTTCTCTCCTATATACACACTACACAGGAGAGAACCTGTACAGATACAATAAGCACCCTTTCCATCCCCACAGATGCCTCATTTCCTGGGCGAGTTCTGTGTATTTAATTATTATTATTAAGATTAACAGCATGAAAATAATTATGCTGTAAATACATCCAGAAAAAAGTTAACTGTTTATAGCATCTACAATGTTTTCTGTGCAAAGAATTGTGTTCAAATCAGAAAGTGCTAAGTTGGCAGATTCAGAAGATTGCATTACAATCATGATTTTGCATAGTTTTATTTTCAGTAGGTTTCAGAAATAAACTGTTAAAAATATAAAATATACATTTTGTTGCATTCAACTTTTGTAATTCTATAATTATTAAAATGCTAATGTTTTGGTATTGCTATCTTTATTCATTTTATAAAAAGCAATACAACATAATTGCAAATATTGTTAAGTATATTATTACTTATGCCTGTATATATATTTTTATTTTGCTCTTTTCTAGGAACATGAATCAGAAGGAGGTCGGACTCCTTTGATGAAAGCTGCTCGAGCGGGTCATCTATGTACAGTTCAATTTTTAATTAGCAAGGGAGCACAAGTAAATAAACAAACATCTAATAATGACCACAATCCACTCTCGTTGGCTTGTGCTGGTGGTCATCTTGCTGTAGTAGAACTTCTTTTGGCCCATGGTGCAGATCCATCTCATAAGCTAAAAGTACGTAATCATAATGATTTGCTGATAATATAAGCTTATCTATGTTTCTAATACATTGTAATTTTGTTTAGGATAATTCTACTATGCTTATTGAGGCTGCAAAAGGGGGTCATACAGCAGTTGTTCAATTATTACTAGATTATCCAAATAATATTTTATCTTCGCCACCGCCACCACCGGATTTATCACAACTAACTACATCTGCTTTAGAAGCCACCGAGGTAAGCCTTATGAATATTTTAATTATTTTTAGTTTACACAAAAAAAATATTATTTTTATATAGTTATAAAACACTTATTACATAATTTTAATGATGATAGTGATATGTCTATAAAAATATAATATTCAAATTTTGCATTTTTCATGCATAATAAATTAATTTGATAAAATCTAATTATTCAATATGAATAAAATATACAAAGTTGTTCATAAAAAAATCTCACCTTTTTTGAAAAGATTATCACATTGTCAATGCAAAAAATTATTTGTGCATTGAACACTTTGCATACTTATCTTTATAAATCATTGAATGATTTTATAAAGATAAGTATTATTACAACTTCTGATGTGTAATTGGCTTTGTAAGTTTGCAGCTGTTTCATAGGTTTGAGGTGTGCTTTAATCCTTATATAGATGGTTGAGATGCATATCTCCAAACAGAAGTTTAAATGGCACTTCTGCTTATGTCATAGGAATATTTTTACAATTATGAAATTATGAAAAATGCCAGGGTTATCAGTTTGAGCACGTGGAGACCCTGGCATTTTTCACAACCCTGGCAGGGTTGTCAGTTTGAGCACGTGGAGATATTTTTTTGAAATTTCATAATTTTAAAAATATTCCTTTGACTTAAGCAGATGTAGCCAATCAACTTATGTTTGAATCTGGTTAGATTCTTAACTGTATGTAATATTTTAAAACATTAAATTATCTGAAAATAGCTAATGAATAAGATTTATAACTTATTAGCAATTCTCAAAACATTTAAGTTTTTGTGTTTATTAGTACTGGTTTGTTTGTGATTGGTATTTTATGCAACAATTTATCCATTTACTTAATGTGTAGAATTGTTTAGTGATGAGCATAATTTACTTCATTAGAAAAATTATTTGACAGCTGTAATAACAAACTGATCAATCACAATATTGAATATGATGTATGGATGTTTTTTTCTTCAAAGCAACTGTTACTTGAGTTTCTTATTTAGTCACTCTAATCAAATGGCTTTTCTTGTAATTTGAGCAGCATGAGGTTGATGCATATTTTTTTCCAGCAGGAATGTATCCTCTCTTTTCAATCAGTACATGCAGAAATATCTTGTTCAAGTGACAGTGCAATATTTGATAAGTTATGATAGAGAATGACAACACATTTTTAAAATGGCTCAAGAGCTTCATCTTAATAATATAATTGAACTTTATAGTGAGATTAAATTAACAATATTTTGTGAAAGCTTTACACTCTAATTTGGTGAATTAAATATTGGTGTTTTGATTTCACGTCATGTTTTTACATCGAAAAAGTATAATGACATCAAAACATAACATGTTATATTGCACAACATATGACATTATCTATTTGCATTATTGCTCATTACTTTTGTGAAGGGATTTAGAGTTAAATGTAAACTATGTATGTATGTATGTATTTATTTATTTGTTTGTTCATTATTTTCAAGTAATTAAAACAAGTTCAGAATTAATATTGAAAAAGTTTGCATTTTTTAATACTATTATTAGTTCTATATTAATTTAGTGGAAAAGAAATATATATTTTGACAGCTGACATTTCAAGGCTTATTTAAAAATTTTGTTTTGATTCTTTGAAATTTTTTTTTGGTTTCATCAAATATGGAAAATTGAAAGTAGCATTTTTGGCATATTTTGCTTTTTGTTACCGTTCAAGAAAGAAAAAAATTGTGTGATGTGTATGGAGATGTGTTGACAGAATGACAATGCCAAAACTGGCTTGCAAAATTTAGTTCTGACAGTTTCGATATTGAAGATGCACCTCGTTCTGGAAGTCCAGTTAAAGCTGATGATGACAAAATAAAGGTATTGATTGAAGCAAACTGCTGAATAACAACATGAGAAATCACTAAGAGATTAAATTTGTTGAATTCAACCATTTATATGATCACTTGAAATGCCTTCATTTTGTTTCAAAGCTCGATATATGGGTTCCACATGTTCTTAAAGAAATTTTCTCTGTTGCATTGACATCTGTGATTTGCTTCTGAAATGTCAAGTAAATGAATCATTACTAGCAATGAAAAATGGATTATTTATAACAATGTCGAACACAAGTGGTCATGGAGTAGAAGAGATGAGCCGGCCCAAAGCACTTTAAAATCTGATTGTTGTTTATCTTTAATCAGAACATCAAATTGTGGTGTGATATTTGATAAGGCAACACAAGTAATAAAGTCATTTTAATATGATTGTGTAGTAATAGTAATTTTAGTAAACAGTTAAATTTCACTAATTTAATATATATTTCTGTTATTACTAAAAATAAAGTTATTACAAAAAAACTTCACTCACTCTAATACAGTAGCATCCCACCTATTTGAAGATTGGCAATTCTTTGCCAGTAAATGGACACTATTTCCTGTTTTAGAAAGAAGGGTTTGTATGATGAAAACCTGTTTTTGCTTCCAAATTTGTTGAATTTCTTTTAAATTTTGGTACTTAACTAGTTTGTGATGCTATCTTCTACAGGTTAAGACAATTGAATTACAGTATCAATTACAAAAGTAGTTTGATAGGACATTAGATTGAAAACTAATAATAGATAAGTTTTATTAATCAGAATAAGTTAATACAGAGTTGCTAACACTGATGATGGAATTTATAGTAAGGAGCCATTATGATGGGCAAATTTAACTGTATAATAAGTTTCAAGGAAAGACTTTGTATCTTGAAAGACTGTTTTATAACATAGGTAAATCAATAAATAAGGTAACAAGTGAATTCATAGAGATTTTTTTATTGATAGAAAAATGGTACTATCAACATAAGATTATCAAATTTAAAAAAAAAATTATCTTAGCATTCTTAATTACTTATAGCAAAAAATATTCTCTGTAGCTCATATTAAATGTAAAAATAAATCTATAGAATTAATAACAAATATTTCTATTATTAAATAAAGTAGTAACAATTAATTTTGTAATTTTCTAAAGAATGGATTAGTTCACTGGAATGATGATAAACTTTTAACAATAAAAGTAAAGTACAAATTTTTTTCATTCAAATAAATATAACTAAAAGTTATTGATGTGATACTTTATGAATGATAAAGTAGAATCACAATTATGTAATATGTTCTTTTATGTAATGTAAAAATTATTTACAGAATAAAATGTTAACTTTTATGTTGAAATTTTTATGTGTCATTTTTATATTTAACAGTATGTATGAAATTATGAATGATTATTTTTACCAATTTTACAAAATATAAAATTTTTTAAATTTTTCGGTAATTTGCGTTTTGAATGCTAGAATATGTAGTTGCATGAATTCATGTTAGTAATTTTCACCAGACATAGGATCTTAATTTTCCCACTTTTTTTAAATTTTAATTTAAGGCTCCAAGAGTTCCTCCACATGGTTTACAGGTATTTTCACCTCAAGAAGCTGAAATAACTGCTTCTGCAGGAAGTCCATATCTTGCTACTGTACAACCTGGTAAGAAATTATTTTCGTAGTTAGATAAACATTCTGACTGACAGATTAATATGATTTTAGCAATATACATTCCTCGTTTCTTAACTGAGAATTGCTTTTAGATTTAAACTTATGAATTTAAATTTATAAAATTTTAAGTAGATATCATAAAGTTCTATGCATGATAAAATTTACATTATTTTATAATACATGATATTTTAAAAAACTATAATTAGTAAAATTTTTAATTATTTTTTTTAATCAAAAATAATTAATAAATATAGTTTATATTGTTGTACATTAAAATTGATTGATCTCTTATGAATGAATGAAATTTCACAAACACTCTTAAACATTGAATTGAGCCCCATTAGTTTGGCAGTACACACGGTGGTTTTTTGCATGTTACGTTCACATGTGCTAAAATATGGTCAGGGAATTACTATTTCCAAGCACAGTATTGCATAACAGGAGGGAGATGTCAAAAGTTCAACCTCTATTGCCATACCTTGGACCTCTCTTCATACACATTAGCTGTATATTCAAGCAACACAACTTTCTCCTGTTCCTCTCCTTTGCTACCAAATTTACACACTCATCTGCAATGATCAGGATAAACTTCTCCACCTTTGAAAATTTGGAGTTTATGCTGTGTTGTTAGAGAATCCTATAACGAGGATGAATACAAGATATTGGAATTGGGGCAACAACACAAATGCTTACCAGCTGCCTGACTAAGCTTCAAAAAGACCTTGTGAGAGGAAAGCCTATCATGGAGCTTGAGAAAAAAGGTGCTCAAATAGTTTGATATGGGCTCAAACAAAGCTACTCAGGTACTGCAGCAACCAGAAACTCATTTGCATATTGGAATCTCTCTTTACATCAACCTTGGAGCCATGTAACACATTCACACTTGAACTATCCAGTGTGTGAGTGTATTTAGCCATTTATATAAATGGTTAAATAGTAATATTCATCTGCCATTCCACTTTGATGTGGGTGCATACTCACCCATGCATTGCATGATGTTTTAAATTATTGCATAATTGAACTTTGAATATACACGACAACTTTTAATTTTGATTTAAATGATATTTATTCCATTTACATTAAAATATTATGTTGTATATTTTAAATCTTCATCACCTGAAGATGATGAATACAGTGATACCTCTGTTTTCATCAATAATTCGTCAGAAAACAATCGGTGAAATCCAAAACCAATTAATTCGTTGTAGACACTCCAAAATGCATACCAAAAACACATTTTAGAGAGAATAAATTTAATGTTTAATACTAAAAAGAATAAGAAATTAATATAAAGTGAATATAAAAGACTAATATGTTGGCCTCTGAAACAGAATCGCCATCTAACAGTTCTTGATTGATCCAAATTAATAACTGTTTGACATATTCAACTGTTTGCGATTTCTGTTTTGTTAGCACATTTACGCCTTTTGCTACATTAGCCTCCTTTATTGCTTTCTTTTTTGCCACAATGGAAATTACTGTAGATGACAACTTCCCATACAATACATATGGCCGATTTCAGCAGTCTTAACCTATTTTGTGTTGAAATTTTTCTCCATTGCATATGGTCGCCATGTTGAATTTTTGTCAATGTTAAGCCTAACTTGAAATTTTTTTTTAAAACTAGCTTACCCGTCACACATTGCAGCGATCGCAGAAGAAATGAAATTCAAGCAAACTTGTTATAATAAAATTTAATTTACATTTTATCATTTTTTATTGAAACTTATTATTATTATAGTATTATTATTATTATTTATTTTTATTGGGAAAACATTTCAAAGTGTCATTTCAATTTTATTTATTTATTTATTTATTGGAGTACTTGTGGATACACGATATTTTTTGTTTTTCCGTCTTGTGCGTACACGAATAAATTGGAAGGTTTTCCAACGCGTGAGCTGGCCAATTACAGTTGTCCATGTGAGAAGCATGGATTCTCCAAATCTAGCCCACACTTGCAGCGATTGTCAGAAGAGCGATATTCCCTATTTTTATATATATTTTTTAATCCTTTACAATTTTAATTATTTAATTGCTCCTTCCTCTCTTCCTTGGCATGTTGTGAAATTTCTGATAGTTGGATAATAAACCATTTTATTGTAATTTGTCTTTTTAAGGTATTTTGAGTTGATATTAAAATTTGGAAAAGGGGGATTCCTAGATCGGTAAAATAGGCGAATTTCCTCCTACAACTTCGGTTGTTGTTCGGGATACAGTTAAGGTTTTAACAAAGTNAATTAAAATATTTTTTATTTCAATAATTAAATAATAAAAAGAATTATATTAAAACTTAAATTAGACAATTTCACAAAAGTAAAAATTCTTTCAGTGAGAATATTATAATCATTGTAATAGCTCTATTTATTTGAGTGTAAGACATCAAATCTAAGACACACCTTAATTTCTACATGCTCACTCATGGATTATTCTTTTTGAAAAATAGAAAACTAGAGACAAATTTATATCAGCAGAACTAATCTTGCTGATATAAATTTCTTCAGTATTTATTACATATAACTTAATTTACTGTGCAACTATTATTTTCTGTGATATTGAAGTTTAAAACCTCTTCACTTTCCAAGTTAGGTACTTTTCAATCAGCACTAGATTCAATGCTCAGGTCTTCCCACTACATTCATCTTCATTGCAATTTAAAGCATTGGAAAATTGCTGCACAATTTTTTTCTGGAATTTTCATTTAAGTACTTGTGACATTATTGTAATAAACTACAGAGCCATGGTAGTGAGAACCAAGTGTCTAATCTCCCATAGCTTAGTCAGCAGTGCCAGCAGTTCACTTCTTTCTAGCTATGGAACTGAAACTAAGATTAGCTTAAATTGACTTCTTAGACATTTGCTATTACAAATATTGAAATAAAATGATTAAAATGATGCAATGGAATTAGTGACTGAGAAGCAAGACAAATAGCATTAGAAATTTCTAATTATGACATTACCTCAAATCTAAGAGCACCCTATTTTCAGAAGTACTAAAACTTGAAAAAAGTTCATCTTATATTCAAATAAATATGGTATATTATTTTCTTCATATTTAAATTTACATTAGAGAGGTTGAGGCGCACGTTTTAAACGTGTAAACGTGTACGTGTGACGTTCGGCGCCGCTTTCCCGTAAGCCTAAAAGTTTGACGATGGTGTTTGGATAGTCGGTGGAATCACGCTCGACATTCCAAACACCATCGTCAAACTTTTAGGCTTATGGGAAAGCGGCGCCGAACGTCACACGTACACGTTTTCACGTTTAAAACGTGCGCCTCAACCTCTCTAATGTAAATTTAAATATGAAGAAAATAATATACCATATTTATTTGAATATAAGATGAACTTTTTTCAAGTTTTAGTACTTCTGAAAATAGGGTGCTCTTAGATTTGAGGTAATGTCATAATTAGAAATTTCTAATGCTATTTGTCTTACTTCTCAGTCACTAATTCCATTGCATCATTTTAATCATTTTATTTCAATATTTGTAATAGCAAATGTCTAAGAAGTCAATTTAAGCTAATCTTAGTTTCAGTCCCATAGCTAGAAAGAAGTGAACTGCTGGCACTGCTGACTAAGCTATGGGAGATTAGACACTTGGTTCTCACTACCATGGCTCTGTAGTTTATTACAATAATGTCACAAGTACTTAAATGAAAATTCCAGAAAAAAATTGTGCAGCAATTTTCCAATGCTTTAAATTGCAATGAAGATGAATGTAGTGGGAAGACCTGAGCATTGAATCTAGTGCTGATTGAAAAGTACCTAACTTGGAAAGTGAAGAGGTTTTAAACTTCAATATCACAGAAAATAATAGTTGCACAGTAAATTAAGTTATATGTAATAAATACTGAAGAAATTTATATTAGCAAGATTAGTTCTGCTGATATAAATTTGTCTCTAGTTTTCTATTTTTCAAAAAGAATAATCCATGAGTGAGCATGTAGAAATTAAGGTGTGTCTTAGATTTGATGTCTTACACTCAAATAAATAGAGCTATTACAATGATTATAATATTCTCACTGAAAGAATTTTTACTTTTGTGAAATTGTCTAATTTAAGTTTTAATATAATTCTTTTTATTATTTAATTATTGAAATAAAAAATATTTTAATTTTGAAATTTTTCCATTAATTTAATGACTGATAATCTGGGTGCATGGTTTGAATTCCTTTCATTAACTAAAATTAATTTTATCAAAATTTGTGCTTAGAATGAATGAATAAATACATGGTTATAAAAGTTCAATTTTTTATGTGAAAATAATAATTGAATTTTAGATTTTAATTTTAATATAAAATCATACTGCAAAACTAATCTTTATGGCATTCTAAATTTATACTTTTTATTTAAAAATTTCTATAGAACTGGAAGTAAACTTGGGATTTCACCACTGATGCTTGCTGCAATGAATGGACACACAGCTGCAGTAAAATTACTTCTGGATATGGGAAGTGACATCAATGCTCAGATAGAAACTAATAGGAATACTGCTCTTACATTAGCTTGTTTTCAAGGAAGGCATGAAGTCGTCAGTCTTTTGTTAGATCGCAAAGCAAACGTTGAGCATAGAGCCAAAGTAAGTTAATTTATTGGGATTGTATTTCAATGATTTCCTTCTTCAACTCATTCATGTTCCTGGCTCTCGAAATTTTCTTTAGTCCCATGATGAAGCTAAAAGGAAAGCAATGGAATTATTTGACCAGACATGCAGGGTAATACTCACACAACAAGAAACAATAGGTCAAAGTAGGAAAATGCATAGGTCGCCCTTTGTTTTTGCAAAATCAACAGTGAGGTCATGTAGGAACATCAACAAAATCCAAGGCAACCACGAAAATCGAAACAAAATTTTTGCAGAAAAGATAGACAAAACCCAAAACTGATAATAAATGAAGGTATTATCAGTTTTGAGTTTGAACACCGAGGTATTACTGTATAAGTTTGTTGAAAGTGCTAGCAAAAATAAAAAAAACTGTTAACATTGCTCTCATTGTTGTTTTCAGTTTCTTTTATGATTGAAATTTCAATAAATTATAACAAATTCTGAAAGGGAAATAAATAGGAAAACATAATAAATTTTGATTTCATAATTTTATTAGAAACTGCTAAATAAATAAATATACAGTAGAGCGTCGATTTTCCGAAAGTCAATCATTCGAAATGTCAATCATCCGAAAGAATTCCAGTCGGCAAATTTAAATTTTCGCCAGTGCTGTGGCGCTTCAATCTTTGGCTATGTCTTGGGTTACTCAAATATTTTACGTTTTTGATACTAAATTAACTTCTGAAGTATAATTTTTTATTGTTTTTATATTTTTCAATATATNATGGATTAATCACCATTATTTTGGCAGTAGTTAAAATTCCTTCAGTTCCTGTCCGAGCTGGAAGAACTTTAACTACTGCTACACCAGGCACATAGTCCAAATATTGTGCTACGTAACTACCATCTATTTCAGTTGACTGGACTCTGTGCAGGACATAGTTTGTCAATGCAAACCAGATTGAGGCTGGGGTCTAGCAGTTTTTCTTCTCAAAATTCAAGAAATGATAAAAAGATAGCTTTATAGAATATAACAGGTTATATTTAGATTTTATATATGATATAAATTGAAATAAAATTCCTATAGTGATCAAGAATGTATGGGACATTCTCTGTATATAAAAAAACAATTTATAAATAATTGTTTTGCAAATAAAAGTTAAATTAGCATTTTTTGCCTTGTTTTAGCTTTATAATTAATATGTTGGGTTTAGTGGGATATATTCAGTTCACACCGGTGGCTGTGTACTATGCCTGATCAGAGTCAAGGCATAGTAACCAAAAACTAAAATTAAATAAGTGTGCCAGTGTCTGTGTCTGTATTCAGGAATTTCCTAACAATATGGCATGTATTCAATATAGTGGCCTTCTGTAGTGTGATGTATGTATTTCTATTCAATTGTAATGTTTTCAGGCTTTTGTGTAGTGTGTGTACAGGTTCTCTCCTATATACACACTACACAGGAGAGAACCTGTACAGATACAATAAGCACCCTTTCCATCCCCACAGATGCCTCATTTCCTGGGCGAGTTCTGTGTATTTAATTATTATTATTAAGATTAACAGCATGAAAATAATTATGCTGTAAATACATCCAGAAAAAAGTTAACTGTTTATAGCATCTACAATGTTTTCTGTGCAAAGAATTGTGTTCAAATCAGAAAGTGCTAAGTTGGCAGATTCAGAAGATTGCATTACAATCATGATTTTGCATAGTTTTATTTTCAGTAGGTTTCAGAAATAAACTGTTAAAAATATAAAATATACATTTTGTTGCATTCAACTTTTGTAATTCTATAATTATTAAAATGCTAATGTTTTGGTATTGCTATCTTTATTCATTTTATAAAAAGCAATACAACATAATTGCAAATATTATTAAGTATATTATTACTTATGCCTGTATATATATTTTTATTTTGCTCTTTTCTAGGAACATGAATCAGAAGGAGGTCGGACTCCTTTGATGAAAGCTGCTCGAGCGGGTCATCTATGTACAGTTCAATTTTTAATTAGCAAGGGAGCACAAGTAAATAAACAAACATCTAATAATGACCACAATCCACTCTCGTTGGCTTGTGCTGGTGGTCATCTTGCTGTAGTAGAACTTCTTTTGGCCCATGGTGCAGATCCATCTCATAAGCTAAAAGTACGTAATCATAATGATTTGCTGATAATATAAGCTTATCTATGTTTCTAATACATTGTAATTTTGTTTAGGATAATTCTACTATGCTTATTGAGGCTGCAAAAGGGGGTCATACAGCAGTTGTTCAATTATTACTAGATTATCCAAATAATATTTTATCTTCGCCACCGCCACCACCGGATTTATCACAACTAACTACATCTGCTTTAGAAGCCACCGAGGTAAGCCTTATGAATATTTTAATTATTTTTAGTTTACACAAAAAAAATATTATTTTTATATAGTTATAAAACACTTATTACATAATTTTAATGATGATAGTGATATGTCTATAAAAATATAATATTCAAATTTTGCATTTTTCATGCATAATAAATTAATTTGATAAAATCTAATTATTCAATATGAATAAAATATACAAAGTTGTTCATAAAAAAATCTCACCTTTTTTGAAAAGATTATCACATTGTCAATGCAAAAAATTATTTGTGCATTGAACACTTTGCATACTTATCTTTATAAATCATTGAATGATTTTATAAAGATAAGTATTATTACAACTTCTGATGTGTAATTGGCTTTGTAAGTTTGCAGCTGTTTCATAGGTTTGAGGTGTGCTTTAATCCTTATATAGATGGTTGAGATGCATATCTCCAAACAGAAGTTTAAATGGCACTTCTGCTTATGTCATAGGAATATTTTTACAATTATGAAATTATGAAAAATGCCAGGGTTATCAGTTTGAGCACGTGGAGACCCTGGCATTTTTCACAACCCTGGCAGGGTTGTCAGTTTGAGCACGTGGAGATATTTTTTTGAAATTTCATAATTTTAAAAATATTCCTTTGACTTAAGCAGATGTAGCCAATCAACTTATGTTTGAATCTGGTTAGATTCTTAACTGTATGTAATATTTTAAAACATTAAATTATCTGAAAATAGCTAATGAATAAGATTTATAACTTATTAGCAATTCTCAAAACATTTAAGTTTTTGTGTTTATTAGTACTGGTTTGTTTGTGATTGGTATTTTATGCAACAATTTATCCATTTACTTAATGTGTAGAATTGTTTAGTGATGAGCATAATTTACTTCATTAGAAAAATTATTTGACAGCTGTAATAACAAACTGATCAATCACAATATTGAATATGATGTATGGATGTTTTTTTCTTCAAAGCAACTGTTACTTGAGTTTCTTATTTAGTCACTCTAATCAAATGGCTTTTCTTGTAATTTGAGCAGCATGAGGTTGATGCATATTTTTTTCCAGCAGGAATGTATCCTCTCTTTTCAATCAGTACATGCAGAAATATCTTGTTCAAGTGACAGTGCAATATTTGATAAGTTATGATAGAGAATGACAACACATTTTTAAAATGGCTCAAGAGCTTCATCTTAATAATATAATTGAACTTTATAGTGAGATTAAATTAACAATATTTTGTGAAAGCTTTACACTCTAATTTGGTGAATTAAATATTGGTGTTTTGATTTCACGTCATGTTTTTACATCGAAAAAGTATAATGACATCAAAACATAACATGTTATATTGCACAACATATGACATTATCTATTTGCATTATTGCTCATTACTTTTGTGAAGGGATTTAGAGTTAAATGTAAACTATGTATGTATGTATGTATTTATTTATTTGTTTGTTCATTATTTTCAAGTAATTAAAACAAGTTCAGAATTAATATTGAAAAAGTTTGCATTTTTTAATACTATTATTAGTTCTATATTAATTTAGTGGAAAAGAAATATATATTTTGACAGCTGACATTTCAAGGCTTATTTAAAAATTTTGTTTTGATTCTTTGAAATTTTTTTTTGGTTTCATCAAATATGGAAAATTGAAAGTAGCATTTTTGGCATATTTTGCTTTTTGTTACCGTTCAAGAAAGAAAAAAATTGTGTGATGTGTATGGAGATGTGTTGACAGAATGACAATGCCAAAACTGGCTTGCAAAATTTAGTTCTGACAGTTTCGATATTGAAGATGCACCTCGTTCTGGAAGTCCAGTTAAAGCTGATGATGACAAAATAAAGGTATTGATTGAAGCAAACTGCTGAATAACAACATGAGAAATCACTAAGAGATTAAATTTGTTGAATTCAACCATTTATATGATCACTTGAAATGCCTTCATTTTGTTTCAAAGCTCGATATATGGGTTCCACATGTTCTTAAAGAAATTTTCTCTGTTGCATTGACATCTGTGATTTGCTTCTGAAATGTCAAGTAAATGAATCATTACTAGCAATGAAAAATGGATTATTTATAACAATGTCGAACACAAGTGGTCATGGAGTAGAAGAGATGAGCCGGCCCAAAGCACTTTAAAATCTGATTGTTGTTTATCTTTAATCAGAACATCAAATTGTGGTGTGATATTTGATAAGGCAACACAAGTAATAAAGTCATTTTAATATGATTGTGTAGTAATAGTAATTTTAGTAAACAGTTAAATTTCACTAATTTAATATATATTTCTGTTATTACTAAAAATAAAGTTATTACAAAAAAACTTCACTCACTCTAATACAGTAGCATCCCACCTATTTGAAGATTGGCAATTCTTTGCCAGTAAATGGACACTATTTCCTGTTTTAGAAAGAAGGGTTTGTATGATGAAAACCTGTTTTTGCTTCCAAATTTGTTGAATTTCTTTTAAATTTTGGTACTTAACTAGTTTGTGATGCTATCTTCTACAGGTTAAGACAATTGAATTACAGTATCAATTACAAAAGTAGTTTGATAGGACATTAGATTGAAAACTAATAATAGATAAGTTTTATTAATCAGAATAAGTTAATACAGAGTTGCTAACACTGATGATGGAATTTATAGTAAGGAGCCATTATGATGGGCAAATTTAACTGTATAATAAGTTTCAAGGAAAGACTTTGTATCTTGAAAGACTGTTTTATAACATAGGTAAATCAATAAATAAGGTAACAAGTGAATTCATGGAGATTTTTTTATTGATAGAAAAATGGTACTATCAACATAAGATTATCAAATTTAAAAAAAAAATTATCTTAGCATTCTTAATTACTTATAGCAAAAAATATTCTCTGTAGCTCATATTAAATGTAAAAATAAATCTATAGAATTAATAACAAATATTTCTATTATTAAATAAAGTAGTAACAATTAATTTTGTAATTTTCTAAAGAATGGATTAGTTCACTGGAATGATGATAAACTTTTAACAATAAAAGTAAAGTACAAATTTTTTTCATTCAAATAAATATAACTAAAAGTTATTGATGTGATACTTTATGAATGATAAAGTAGAATCACAATTATGTAATATGTTCTTTTATGTAATGTAAAAATTATTTACAGAATAAAATGTTAACTTTTATGTTGAAATTTTTATGTGTCATTTTTATATTTAACAGTATGTATGAAATTATGAATGATTATTTTTACCAATTTTACAAAATATAAAATTTTTTAAATTTTTCGGTAATTTGCGTTTTGAATGCTAGAATATGTAGTTGCATGAATTCATGTTAGTAATTTTCACCAGACATAGGATCTTAATTTTCCCACTTTTTTTAAATTTTAATTTAAGGCTCCAAGAGTTCCTCCACATGGTTTACAGGTATTTTCACCTCAAGAAGCTGAAATAACTGCTTCTGCAGGAAGTCCATATCTTGCTACTGTACAACCTGGTAAGAAATTATTTTCGTAGTTAGATAAGCATTCTGACTGACAGATTAATATGATTTTAGCAATATACATTCCTCGTTTCTTAACTGAGAATTGCTTTTAGATTTAAACTTATGAATTTAAATTTATAAAATTTTAAGTAGATATCATAAAGTTCTATGCATGATAAAATTTACATTATTTTATAATACATGATATTTTAAAAAACTATAATTAGTAAAATTTTTAATTATTTTTTTTAATCAAAAATAATTAATAAATATAGTTTATATTGTTGTACATTAAAATTGATTGATCTCTTATGAATGAATGAAATTTCACAAACACTCTTAAACATTGAATTGAGCCCTATTAGTTTGGCAGTACACACGGTGGTTTTTTGCATGTTACGTTCACACGTGCTAAAATATGGTCAGGGAATTACTATTTCCAAGCACAGTATTGCATAACAGGAGGGAGATGTCAAAAGTTCAACCTCTATTGCCATACCTTGGACCTCTCTTCATACACATTAGCTGTATATTCAAGCAACACAACTTTCTCCTGTTCCTCTCCTTTGCTACCAAATTTACACACTCATCTGCAATGATCAGGATAAACTTCTCCACCTTTGAAAATTTGGAGTTTATGCTGTGTTGTTAGAGAATCCTATAACGAGGATGAATACAAGGTATTGGAATTGGGGCAACAACACAAATGCTTACCAGCTGCCTGACTAAGCTTCAAAAAGACCTTGTGAGAGGAAAGCCTATCATGGAGCTTGAGAAAAAAGGTGCTCAAATAGTTTGATATGGGCTCAAACAAAGCTACTCAGGTACTGCAGCAACCAGAAACTCATTTGCATATTGGAATCTCTCTTTACATCAACCTTGGAGCCATGTAACACATTCACACTTGAACTATCCAGTGTGTGAGTGTATTTAGCCATTTATATAAATGGTTAAATAGTAATATTCATCTGCCATTCCACTTTGATGTGGGTGCATACTCACCCATGCATTGCATGATGTTTTAAATTATTGCATAATTGAACTTTGAATATACACGACAACTTTTAATTTTGATTTAAATGATATTTATTCCATTTACATTAAAATATTATGTTGTATATTTTAAATCTTCATCACCTGAAGATGATGAATACAGTGATACCTCTGTTTTCATCAATAATTCGTCAGAAAACAATCGGTGAAATCCAAAACCAATTAATTCGTTGTAGACACTCCAAAATGCATACCAAAAACACATTTTAGAGAGAATAAATTTAATGTTTAATACTAAAAAGAATAAGAAATTAATATAAAGTGAATATAAAAGACTAATATGTTGGCCTCTGAAACAGAATCGCCATCTAACAGTTCTTGATTGATCCAAATTAATAACTGTTTGACATATTCAACTGTTTGCGATTTCTGTTTTGTTAGCACATTTACGCCTTTTGCTACATTAGCCTCCTTTATTGCTTTCTTTTTTGCCACAATGGAAATTACTGTAGATGACAACTTCCCATACAATACATATGGCCGATTTCAGCAGTCTTAACCTATTTTGTGTTGAAATTTTTCTCCATTGCATATGGTCGCCATGTTGAATTTTTGTCAATGTTAAGCCTAACTTGAAATTTTTTTTTAAAACTAGCTTACCCGTCACACATTGCAGCGATCGCAGAAGAAATGAAATTCAAGCAAACTTGTTATAATAAAATTTAATTTACATTTTATCATTTTTTATTGAAACTTATTATTATTATAGTATTATTATTATTATTTATTTTTATTGGGAAAACATTTCAAAGTGTCATTTCAATTTTATTTATTTATTTATTTATTGGAGTACTTGTGGATACACGATATTTTTTGTTTTTCCGTCTTGTGCGTACACGAATAAATTGGAAGGTTTTCCAACGCGTGAGCTGGCCAATTACAGTTGTCCATGTGAGAAGCATGGATTCTCCAAATCTAGCCCACACTTGCAGCGATTGTCAGAAGAGCGATATTCCCTATTTTTATATATATTTTTTAATCCTTTACAATTTTAATTATTTAATTGCTCCTTCCTCTCTTCCTTGGCATGTTGTGAAATTTCTGATAGTTGGATAATAAACCATTTTATTGTAATTTGNGTAGGCTGAGAATGTGTGCGTATAGGATATAAATGAACAAACTGACGAGTTTTTAAGCTACTGCATGCATTATTTTTCTTGATATTTGCTGGAAAGTAGGTAGGAAATATCGTAATATATAATTTTTTTTTCTTCTTGATAAACTACATTTAGAATAATTCCTGTTTATGTTACCAATTATATTATGCTGTTAACACGGTGTAAAATATATTTACAACTTAGTTACAAAAATTTCTATTGTCTACCCCCCTTTTTTTCTAGTCCATCATCGTGTTTATTGTAGTCAACTTTTGACTTTTACGACTTAAAATTATTGTTCCTTTGTTTAAGAAGTGATATATTTTAAGATCTGTGATATTTATGTATACAATTTGTTTGTTTCTTTGCATTCATTTGGGCTGTAGACTTAAATGTCTACGTTTATATGGCTCCTTAACCACTACAATGGTCGCTTCCTTACTTAAAATTCGGTAGGATAAGCGAATTAAACATAATTTTCGGCAAATCTATCGCTTATAAATCGATTTTTTTTTTCGCCAATTTCTAAGCAAATTGCAATTTAAAATTTTAATTAATCACTTCTTTATTTCTTTAGTGGATCCTGAAACGTTTCTTTGCTTAAAAATTAAATTTCATAAGCGAATTAAGCATGATTTTCAGTATATTTAGCGCTTATGCAATGAATTTTTTACCTAATATTCACTATATAAATTCATTTATGAATTATAAGAATTTGATTAGTTGCTCCTTAATTTCTAAACTGGCTTCTGAATTGTTTCTTTACATAAATTGGATGTAAGAAGCGAATTAAACACACTTTTCTACAAATCTGTAGCTTATAAATCAGTTTTTTTTCCGTGAATTTACTAAGAAAATTGCATTCTAAAATTTAATCCAGTAACTTATAATTTTAATGATGATTCCTTAACTTCTTCAGTGGCTCCTGAGATGTTTCCTCGCTTAAAATTATATTTAATAAGAAATTAAACACTATAAATATCACCCATAAATCAAGAAAGGCAAGATCTAATTTAATTTCTTAACCTCTTCTTAGCTCCTTAACTTTTATAGTGGCTCCTGGACTGTTTCCTTGCTTAAAAATTAATAAAAAAAAGCAAATTAAACGAGATTTTAAACTGTTCCCTCACTTAAAAATGGATAAAATAAGCGAATTAAAGCAGATTTTAAACTAAAGAATCCCCTGTAAAGCCATTCCTTTCACGTATCTCTAAGCACATTCGAACATAAAATTCACTTATAATTTATAAAATAAAGTAGATTATCACAACCTTTTATATATATTTAATGCTTTAACACGTCTCCTGTAAGCATTCCAACACAAAAGATTGTCAAGTTGTATCAGTCGATAAAGTTATCGATAATAACCAAGTTCGATTTATATCTATAAATAGAACGTTACGTTATGGATTTATAAGTGAATTTATTGGATAATATATAATAATAGTTTGGAAAATTTTATAAAATATTTGTTAAAAAATCGATTAATTAATGAATTCTCTTTAAAAATTCCGTAGTAAATTTGCTTAATCATACGAAAAAGTTAAATTTTATTGCCAAGTTCAGGGTAACGTTTGGCAAATTTACAGAAGAAAGTTTTTAAAATAGACCATTTAAATCTATGTTTAGTCGGTATTTAAGCATTTATCCAATAGTTTAAATAGTTTAAAACCTTTTAAATTCAATTATATTAGCTTTAAAATATAATTTCTACAACCATAAAAATTACTGTCATTCATCCTCCATGTTTAATATAATTTTTTTTTATAGTTCCTAGATTACCACAACCTGTCCCACTTACTGATATAAATCACTCTCAACAAACAACAATCAAGCAGAATATACAGAAATCTCTACAAAGGAAAGCTGCTTTTATTAAATCTAATGAAGCCCCCTCCTCCTCAGCCAGTGAGGTTCAGGGTCAACGCCATCATCGCAGTAAAAGTAATGCAGCAGCTCAGGCTAATTCTACCAGTATTCAAGCTGAAACTGGTGTTATATCTGAAATTGAGGCAGGGGGAGGGGGCATTGAGTCTGTTGAGTTGAAACCAAGTGAGAGACTTGAAGCATGTATAAATAGTATGATGAAAAAAGCTGAACTCTTAAATCCTAGTAGGGAAGAACAAATTCTTCAAAAACAACAGATTTTAGAAGAACTCCAACGTGTAGAGAGGGAGCTTCAAGAGAAAGCTCAAGCTCAATTATTACTGACTGCACAACATCAGCAGCATCATCACCACCATCATCTACAAGGACTTGCCACTGTAGCTACAGTTACTCCTACAATTGCAACAGTAACAAACAATACTGCTGCTTTACCAACTATTACTGCTGCTCATAGTCAGCAGTTATTACTAAATAGTGCTACTATTCTTGATATGGGATCACTGCCATCTACCGTAGTTCCTGAACTTTCTGGTGTAACTGGGCATCTTGGACTTAGTCTTCGAGCAACAACAGCGGCTCATTTGACTTCACCACCAAATGTTTCTCCTCTTCAACCACAACAATTATATCAGCCTCCTAAAGCTCTTCCGTCACAGGTTTCTACGACAGAGCCATCAAAAAACAGAGTTAGTAAACAACCTACCAAACAAAATAAAAGTGTTATTTCTAAGCAGCAGCAGCAGCAGCAGCATCAACAAATACAGCAAACAACTCATCTTCAGTCACCACAAATTGGTAATAAGACATCTCAAGCACATCTAGAGGAAGTGGAAAAAATGAATTTACGAAATGTTGTATTGTCAGAACAGCAGCAGCAATTTTTACAACATCCTCAGCAATTTGTTTTATCAGAACTAACTCAAAATCTCACTTTAAGAGCTAATAGTCATCTTTCTGAAGGCACAACTGATGCTCTTACATTAATGCAAGCTGCTGGAGGAATTAAGTTTACAGCAGATAATCCTCAAGCACATGCAATTCCTATTATTGATCCAGTTGCAGTTAGTCAAGCGTTTGCACTTCAACAGCAGCAACAACAGCAACAGCAGCAGCAACAACTTCATTTTCAGCAACTTCCTCAAACACTTCAAAATGAAGCAAAAAGACAGCATAATGAAAAAATATCAAAAACTCAGAAATCAAAACTCTCAAAATCTCAGCAGTCACAACAACTCACAGTTCAACATAGTCAATGTAATTCTCAGTTAATACAAAATCAACCTTCTCAAACGCTACCAAAATCTCAACTTAATTCCACTGGTGCTGTTGATTCTTGTACATTAGTGGGAAATCTTCCAATAGATGCTACAGGAATGTTTACTTTAGGTGGCATGGCTACCCCTGCTTTTCCTGTGTCCTTGGCTGTTTCTCCTGCAACTTTGACAGCTCCGGTGACTATTGCTACTAGCTGTGCTGCATTCACACACAGTATTGCTCTAGAAGAAGGACTTATGGTAGCTGCTCCTGCTCGTACACTTCATGACACTTTAGGAGAAATTATGACAGGTAAGAATTAAACATCAGATCTATCATTAAGAATAAGATTTTATATATGCTAAACATATGTAATTTTTGAATATGGGATATCTATTAGGTCCAACCACTCAACTTGCTGGAACACCTCAGATGGCAGTAGCTCAACAAGTTACAACAACTCATTGCGTAGATCCTTGTCTAGGAGCAGCAACTTCAGGAATTGGTGTTGGATTGACAATGAATGCTCCTCCCAGCTCTTTGCCTTTAACATTCCATACTTTAGCTCCGGCTGTTACTTCATGTGTACCCGCTGCTGTTACAAATGCCATAGTACCACCCCATCACCATCCTCAATTAAATCATACAGCTACTATACAGCAATCTACATCTGCTCCACAAACTTTGTTTCCTCCACTTGATTTAAATTCACAAACTGACAGTAATCATGATACAGCTTTAACCCTTGCTTGTGCTGGAGGTCATGAAGAATTAGTCAGTCTTTTGTTATCTAGAGGAGCTGATATTGAACATCGAGACAAGAAAGGTTTTACTCCTCTAATGTTAGCTGCCACGGCCGGACATGCTGGAGTTGTAGAAATTCTTTTAAATCATGGTGCTGATATTGAAGCACAATCTGAACGTACTAAAGATACTGCTCTTTCTCTTGCATGTTCTGGAGGTCGCTATGAGGTTAGTATGAACATCTGTGAAATAAAATAAGTTGAGTAATCTGTAAAAGTCAATAGTCTTAAAAATATATAATGTTTATATATTATTTTAAGACTATAAAAAATATTATTAGTGGTATATAATAATAATTAGTAACATAAGTAATAATATCCAGTAAACTCTTAAAAGTATGACCAAGGACTTGATGCCACTCAAATTTTTATTATTATTTCTACAGTTTTTATAAAATACTGTATTTTATGGCATATGAGATGCACCTCTATTTCAGCACAGAATATTTTGGAAAGTATTTAGTATATTTAAGTCATCCTGTGCCTTTTTATACTTAACCCAAAACTTTTTTCCTATATTCTGGTTTAAAAAACAAAATTAGAGTGAGTTTTATTTATTAGGGAAAGAGAAGTTTAAAAGAAGTCATTTACCATTAAAGTATTCAACATGAATACATGCAAAAGCCACTTACTGTAGCAAAGGATGATGATATGTTTAATTAAACAATATTTTTTATTCAAGAGTTCTAGGTACAGGTTACCAGTAGCCTAATGCAGATTGTTTGGGAAGTTAATCACAACTTCATATATAAGGTGCAAGGCAATTTTTTGAGTCTTTTTGAATAAAAGTTGCATCTTATATTTTATAAAATACAATAATGAATGATTTTCAAAGGTGATTGAACGAGTAAAGATGGCCTCTTTTAAATATTATTGCATTTGCCCAAATATAAGTCAGTTGAATATAGATCAACCCCAAATTTTTTTTTCCTGTCAGAAGAAAAAATTTTCTCCCTAATATACCATAAATCAATCTAGAGGAATGTATTGGTCTTATTTATGGACAAATCACAAACTTAATATCCAACTTCTGAAAATTAGCTAGATTTAGGCCCATAAAGCTTTTTTTATTTTCATGTCTGATAACTATTCTAGTAAGGACTTCATTTTTCTCCAGTTATGTGTGTTTTTCTCATAAATGCCAATCATGTGGCAGCCATGCTTTTGTTGTTTTTCTCAGCATATTTTGATACAAGAGAAATTTTCAGTTAGTTGCTACAGTTTGGATATTCTTTTGACAAGGTTGGATTTTGTTCAGGCCAAATCTTCATTCAACAATTCATTTACATCCATTAAGAAAAAAAAAACAGGCTATCTGAATTACTGTAATGTGGGATTTCCTACAATTTTGCAAGAGTGAAATATAGAGCACAGAATATTGCACAGTAGTTTAACTGTAATCTTATATAAAAATAATCTTATCTGCATAGAATATCATGCTGTAATTTATTTTAAGCAAAAAAAAAATTATTTTTGGAACATGATTAGGTGCACCAAATAATTTTTTCTTACACTTATAGGATAGGATATGTTCATAAAGCTGAACAAGTTGAACAATTTACTAATGAGTTGGTTATAAAGTGCACTGAGTATGTGTACTTTATAACCAACTCATTTGTACACATGCTTAATGATGATAATATTTCAAACAAAACTCTAAAGCTAGAAATTCGAATCTGCTGTTTTCAACTGTCAAGGGTCTAGTTAAAAAGTTGAGAATGTGGCAATGTTTCAAATGACAAATCATCAGGACACCTTCAAGCAATGCGATTATGAAAAAGAATACTATACCATATTGCAAAAGTTAATCCATAATAAAAATTTCCAGAAATAACATCAGAATGGACAAGAACCATCAAGAAATATGTATTAAGTGCAACATGCAGGTGTTGACTCACATTGGTTATTCATCTTACAAGACAAAGATAAACCCCTACTCACTATTAAACAGAAGAAAGTAAGACTTGTCTGGGCTAAAGAACATAACTTTTTGCCATTATTGTCTAGTTCATGGGTTCCCAACCTATGGGTCGCGACCCAGAAGGGGTCGCGGGTATCGGGTCCTATCTGGTATCGCCCCTATCTGGGTCGCGACCCAGATAGGGGGTCGCGACGGGCTTTCTGTGGGGTCGCAAACTTATACAGTAAACTAAAAAAAATATTCACTATAAAGCAATTTTTATTTTTAATGGTGTCTTGAAGTTTGAATAATTTCATATATTTTTTTTAAATTAAAATAAGTGTAATCTAGGTACGCTACTCTGTCACAGTTGGTTGAAACATGTGTTAAAGAGTTTGAGAGGAATAAATTAAATGTTGAGGATGACATGAGATTGGCGTTAACAAAAACTCACCCGCAAATTTTGAAACTGGTTAATAACATGCAATTTCAACCATTGCATTAAATTATTAAACAATTTAAAATAAAATTATAGTAAAAAAACTAATTACGTTGTTTTTTAATTATTACCTTATTAAAAATGCCTTTTTCATTTGTATCGGGGTCGCGGGACACTTGGCTTTTATAAAAAGGGGTCGCCACCCGAAAAAGGTTGGGAACCATTGGTCTAGTTATTTTTTTTTAGACAGATATTGCAACAAAAACATGTAACCTTTCAACCCAATTGCCTTTCCTGCATTGTTAAATTTTTGTTGAGTATCATTGTATGAGTGCCAAAGTATTGGTGCTCTATACATCATTAATGGAACTGTTAATTCTACAAAATATATTAAGATTTTGGAAGAAAAATCTCTTGCTAACATTTTCTCATTTGTAGCCTGACAATGATTATATCTTTCAATGAGAAGATGATTTTTCCATGTGACAACTGGCATGAAGTCCTGGTATCAGTATAGCATCAGTATGTACTAACACTTCTGTGGCTGGTAAACAGTCCTGATGTATCATCAATTGGAAATCTTTGAGGAATACTGAAAACAGCAGTTTAAAAATGACACTCAACAAAAGAATTGTGCACAGTATTAAAACAAGAACAGGAAAAACTAATTCCTGATTGTTGTTCACAAATTGTTTACAAAATAACATGCTAGATTGCCATTCAAAAGGAATCATCACCAAATACTAATCATTAGTGGCTAAAGTATTTTACAACAGCAGCAGATATGGTTGAAATTTTTGAAACAAAAGAAATAAATAAAAATTATAACATGTGGTAAACATAATGTACACAATGTTTGTGACAATCTTATTGTAAATAAAACTGGTTTATTTAAAACTACAATTACTGAAGTTTAAAAAACTTTTTGTTATGTGGCTGTATCTTAACAAAAGCAAGTAGTATATTATTAAAGAGGTGTTCTTTCAAGAGTTTACTGTATTTTAAGTAGTGATATAATTTAACCTTCTGATGATCTATTTTTAAAGCATTTCAATTTTACAATCTTTCTGAACAAGTAAATATATAGTAGAGTAAAAAATAAACCAATGAATTGGCACAGATTTTATTATACAACACAAATTTATATTCCACCACAAAATAAACTCATACTGTAGTTATATGCTTCTCTGTATATTAATATCATCTTTATGATCTCTCATTGCTATCATTTCCATTTATGCTACTGATTGAAACCTTTAATTCTTTAAATTCTTTCATATTAGGAAACAGATAAAGATCTTTAGGTCAAGATAAAGAATTTGAAGTATTGTTATGCCCTCCTTGATCAGATATTTGTTAATCAAAAATGACTGATGAACCCAAATATGGAATTTAGTGATATAAGCCTTTAAAAATTACAAAAATAGCTCTTAGGATTGCTTTGACAAGTGATATAGATGCAGCAGCAGATGATATAGATGTGTAGCAACAGCTACACATTTCTTCTGCATCTATATAAATGTGCTTACTTTGAAGATGTCATCTGCAAATATTTGTACTGTTAATGCAATAAAAGTAATGTTAAATTTTTGGTTTATTTTTTACTCTTCCATATAGAAATTTGTTTTCTTAATTATGGAGTATTACAGTAAAATTTTTAAAACAAAAGTTATAAATCCATAATCAGTTTACATTTAAGTATAAATATTTAAAAAGAAATTTAAAAATGCAAGAATAAATATTTTCTGGAAACAATAAGTTTGAAAAGATTTATAAATTTTATATTATTAGTAATGAAAGTCTCACGATCAAAAATTTACTCATTTCTAAATCTAATTTTTAGTTTTTTTTTGTTTATAATGAAAGTAATGTAATATTGCTGTGTAAGTCAGTAATTTAATCAATAATTTTTTTAATATGAATTAACTGAGACATTTGTTTTTATAACAGTTGCACTTAATGATTTGTCTGAATATTAGAGGTATATAAATTAAAATATTATTAGTATTATCATCATATAAATATTAATTTCTAAGTTTATTTTTATAATTTTATGTTTGTTTGTACTTTTTGTTTTAAGGTGGTAGAGATTTTATTGGCTCGTGGAGCAAACAAAGAACATCGCAATGTTTCTGATTACACTCCATTAAGTCTTGCTGCATCTGGTGGCTATGTGAACATAATAAAATTGTTACTTAGTCATGGTGCAGAAATCAACTCAAGGTAACTATATTGAAAATGAATGAAATTTCAATAATATAGAATACAATAATATACTGTAAATTATTATGATATATACTCATGAATATAAAATGTTATGCCTTCACAAATATACAGCATTTTATATTCATGAATATATTATAATTTAAAGTTAAAAACAATATAACTTATTAAAATTATATAATTTTTTTAACATTTTCATAATTACTGTAATTTCTTACATGTAATCCATAGTGGTGTATAGTCTGAAAAAGATTGCTAGAATAAAAATAAAATTGTATAATTCATGTCACTGTATATCCTATATTTCCAAGTGGAAACTGAAAACATGACTGGAATGCAGAAAATATTTTCTCAAATGTTCTGTTTGTCATTTACATTAGCAATTCATTGTAGAAAGTTATAAAATAAGTGAAAAAGAAATGGAATATTTGAGGCGTCCTTCACAAAACTACATTGTGTTGAAAATATAAAATAGCTACTGAATGGCACATTTTTTAAAATCATTTTGTTTCATTTCTGTATTATTCATCAAATAATTTTAAACATATAATGTTAAAATAAACCTAAAAAATTTTAATGTGGTTAATATCCAATGGCAAGAGCTTGAGTTGATTGTTTACCTCCTATTTACTGTAAAAAAAACTAACATATAATAGAATCAACAGTCAGCTTTTACATAGTTCTGAAAGTTATTGGAGAGGAGAAATTACTGAAATTTTGAGCTTTTAAGATACAAATTCAAGTAGGATTGTCTAATAATGTCAGTTAAAATGTGTCAGCATGTAGAAAATAAATTGTTAGAGACTAAATATAATATATATGTATGTATGTGATGATTTCAAGAAAAATCATACAGGCAGATGTGTCTGGCATGCAAGAGATTTTTTTTACATTTTCTGTTGGTAAGTTTAGATGAAGGAAGAGCTGTTTTAAGTTTATAGCTGTAAATAAAAATTGGTAGATAACTCATCATATAACCTACTACTTTCAAATTTTAAACACAGATAATCTTTGATTATTTGCAGGAAATTACAGTATTCTGGCATTTTTTTCAGCATAAAATAAATGTTAATCATCAAATCTTTAATTTTTATGAAGTTTGTTTTAAAAACATTACACAAATTTTTAGAGATGGAACTAATGTGGATTTTTGCATGCATAATGTGAATACAATATGGATTTTTAACAGCAAATGTATATGCATTTACTACTAAAAAAAACATTTGATTTGACAAATCTTGATCAACAAAGCCTTCATAATTATATTGAATTAAAATTTTAAACAAAAATTTGAAATAATGTCTGTAGGAATGTCAGATATTCTAAGTATTTTCTACAGATTAGATTCCAAAATTTCTTTAATCCGAAAAAAAAAATGATGAAATTTTGTATAGAAGTTAAATAATGAATGTAAGAAAGATTTATTTCAGAAGCCTTTCCTTTATCATTATCACATAAATGCATGTAATTCATTGATTAAAGTGTTTGACTTAAATAGAAGAATAATTTTCCTTTTGGAGAGACTACATTTACAGTTTTATAATCAAGATCAGCAAATAGAATTTTTTTTATCAGAAATATACTTTTATTTTCCCAAATGCTAAAATTGCAGGAAATTTAACAAAATTTGTTAGAAATGATTTAACTGCTGATAACAAGTTAAAAAATAGAATTTTAAATTAGAATAAATAAACATCTGTATTGAAACTAGTGAATGAGAAACAAAAATATAAAAGTTATTCAATGTTAGTCAATTTGAAAGTGTTTTAATGGTCTTTTACTTTGTGTTTGATGCTTCTATATTATATCCTTATGTTGTCTAGTCAGAAAAAAGTTTTACCTAAAACTCCAAAACCTAGTTATTAACTGTATTTTTCTTGGAAGTTATATGTAATCATAATACAGTATGTCCATAATGAAAGACTTTAAGAAGTAATAATTTTAAATGAAATGTATAGTGAGTAAAGCTTCATTTTTATTTTGAATAGAGAGGTTGAGGCGCACGTTTTAAACGTGAAAACGTGTACGTGTGACGTTCGGCGCCGCTTTCCCGTAAGCCTAAAAGTTTGACGATGGTGTTTGGATAGTCGGTGGAATCACGCTCGACATTCCAAACACCATCGTCAAACTTTTAGGCTTATGGGAAAGCGGCGCCGAACGTCACACGTACACGTTTTCACGTTTAAAACGTGCGCCTCAACCTCTCTAATGTAAATTTAAATATGAAGAAAATAATATACCATATTTATTTGAATATAAGATGAACTTTTTTCAAGTTTTAGTACTTCTGAAAATAGGGTGCTCTTAGATTTGAGGTAATGTCATAATTAGAAATTTCTAATGCTATTTGTCTTGCTTCTCAGTCACTAATTCCATTGCATCATTTTAATCATTTTATTTCAATATTTGTAATAGCAAATGTCTAAGAAGTCAATTTAAGCTAATCTTAGTTTCAGTTCCATAGCTAGAAAGAAGTGAACTGCTGGCACTGCTGACTAAGCTATGGGAGATTAGACACTTGGTTCTCACTACCATGGCTCTGTAGTTTATTACAATAATGTCACAAGTACTTAAATGAAAATTCCAGAAAAAAATTGTGCAGCAATTTTCCAATGCTTTAAATTGCAATGAAGATGAATGTAGTGGGAAGACCTGAGCATTGAATCTAGTGCTGATTGAAAAGTACCTAACTTGGAAAGTGAAGAGGTTTTAAACTTCAATATCACAGAAAATAATAGTTGCACAGTAAATTAAGTTATATGTAATAAATACTGAAGAAATTTATATCAGCAAGATTAGTTCTGCTGATATAAATTTGTCTCTAGTTTTCTATTTTTCAAAAAGAATAATCCATGAGTGAGCATGTAGAAATTAAGGTGTGTCTTAGATTTGATGTCTTACACTCAAATAAATAGAGCTATTACAATGATTATAATATTCTCACTGAAAGAATTTTTACTTTTGTGAAATTGTCTAATTTAAGTTTTAATATAATTCTTTTTATTATTTAATTATTGAAATAAAAAATATTTTAATTTTGAAATTTTTCCATTAATTTAATGACTGATAATCTGGGTGCATGGTTTGAATTCCTTTCATTAACTAAAATTAATTTTATCAAAATTTGTGCTTAGAATGAATGAATAAATACATGGTTATAAAAGTTCAATTTTTTATGTGAAAATAATAATTGAATTTTAGATTTTAATTTTAATATAAAATCATACTGCAAAACTAATCTTTATGGCATTCTAAATTTATACTTTTTATTTAAAAATTTCTATAGAACTGGAAGTAAACTTGGGATTTCACCACTGATGCTTGCTGCAATGAATGGACACACAGCTGCAGTAAAATTACTTCTGGATATGGGAAGTGACATCAATGCTCAGATAGAAACTAATAGGAATACTGCTCTTACATTAGCTTGTTTTCAAGGAAGGCATGAAGTCGTCAGTCTTTTGTTAGATCGCAAAGCAAACGTTGAGCATAGAGCCAAAGTAAGTTAATTTATTGGGATTGTATTGATTTTAACAATAAATTCCATTTAATGCTGAAGTTATTTTTTAAAATTATGAACAAAGAAAATATTGAATAATACAGTTAATTAATATTATAATTAATCCTTGGATTTTTTGGTGGGTAAAAACCATCAAATTTGTGGGTGGAATGATGGAAGAAAATGTTTAATTGGGTGAAAAATTAGTTGGGATAATTTATTTTGAAACAATCATGTAATAAATAAGCTTAAGAACTGATAAAAATTAACAAAAACTTTATTGAAATGAAAGTGAACAAATACTTCATTTTCATTATACTCTATAAAGCAAGTTCATTTTCAGTATAAAAATGAGAGTTGTAACTATGATCATTTCAATATTTTGAGACATGAAAGTTTCTGTTTATTGTAAGAATTTGCATGTACTTAGAAAAGCTTTATTCTGCATCTACATATACTAGTGTAGCATATTTGGTTTTTACAGCATATTTGTTATTGAGCAAAGAAGAATTGCAGCTTTTTTTTTTGCAAAACCATCCAGACCATTGTATATTTTGTAGTATCCCATCTCTGTTTTTAAGTTCTGAGCTTTTAGCTACTGGGAATTTGTAACTATTTACTGAGAATAACTGTAATACTGTGTCCTTGTCAGTAACAACTGGAGCCTTTGCAGTTTTGATGGTTTCAGAATCTGCATCATCTAATATTCAAAAAATGTTTAATTAATCAAATCAAAGTTTTCAGCATAAAACATGTTTTGCAGTAATCCAATTCTTCATCTGGTCACAACAGGTTGTGGGGAAGTGGCAGGTTAGTTACTACTCTGCAATGCTGCTGACAATATGGTGCTCTCAATAAAACTTTCTTCATTTCTGCTACAAACATGTTAGTTTTGCTATATTTAGTATGTATAGCTTCATAAACATGTAAAGAATATTCTATGCAAGTTACATGCTTTAGCTTGGGAAAAAGAAATTTTAGCAAAGATCCATCAGATAGCATGTATAGTACCTAGCTTGATCTGTTACTAACATAAAGACTTTATCATATGTTATACCATTTGGCCATAGGATGTGACAAGCATCAACGTAGAACTACATTTGTAAATTTCAGGTTATACATTTTCAATAACATTGGTTTAGCAATTTCATCATCCAGTGGAAACACTAGAACATTTAGTATGTATGGGAAAATTCATTGGTTATTCCATTCAGTAAAAAGCACACAATTGCTCCAACTATCTACAATTAACCAGTAACCGGTGCGAAACTCTTTAAAATCGGCGAACGTTTTCGATTCCCCTCCTGGGATCTTCTTCAGGCTTACTTTATTATACCTTTCGTTATAACCGGATTCTTTAATTCGAATCTTTTTGAAAAATATGGAACGTGCCATTTTTCGAAAAAATTTCGAAAATGGAAGGAATCTAGGTGTTATTTCAAATATAATTTTCTACCAATGGGGATTCGTTGTGTGCAATACCTCATAAAATTTATCTTATAAAATATATTATGATTTATTGTCAATTAAAAATTGCCATGCTGCAGAGAGATTTATTTCTTCTTTGAAATTAATGCATGCAGATTTGCGATCGACTTTAAAGATTTCCACTGCCTCCAAAGTTCTTAGTTGCCCCTGGTGTTGGGTGGTGCGGATAACATGCGCTTCATCGAAGATAGGTGTGATGCCCGGGTTTGTTGCATACGTAGATAGGGCTGTCGTACATTTATTATGTTCGATGTCTGATTTATGCTCTTTTAATCTTGTGGCCAATGAACGCTTGGTGGATCCGATATACATTAAAGGCCTATCCCATCTGTTATCTTTTAATGGAATACTGTATATCCCTGGAAGCCTATTTGGGTCCGAATTGTCCTTCCCGTTCTTTAATAAACTGTAAATGGTTGGGTTTCTTTTGTATGCAATTTTAATTCCTTTTGTTTTTGCAATTTTTTCGTACATTGCCTTTAGATGCGGGTTATATGTTATTGTCTTCAATTTTACATCTGATATTCTGGATTACAGATTCATTTATTTTCAAGGTTTCTAAAATATAGTCTGAGGCTGGAACAAACACTCAATATTAGAGATAATTATATAGAGAAGTATGAGAAAGATGGTAGGTAACACTGATGTGAATTTCAAATATTTTTGTTTTAGTCACAATGTAATAAGAATGGGAAATTTGAAATTGACTTACCCTGATATGTCTGAATATTATTAATTGTCTTGAATTTGGATTATTTGCAAATTAATATAAAATTCATAAAAATAAGTTAATAAAAAATTTATAATTCATATAAATAAAGTTTATAAATTACTGTGGATAACTACAAATTATAAATTATAGTTATTTAAAAAAAACTTTTGTATGTAATATTAGTGACTTCTACAATAACAATGAGTTTTAAATCATATAATATAATAAACTTTAATGAATTCATTCAATAGTATTATACTATCATTTCTAACAATTTTTTAAAATATAAATTTATAGACTGGTTTAACACCCCTCATGGAAGCTGCTTCTGGTGGTTATGTTGAAGTTGGTAGGGTGTTGCTAGATAAAGGTGCAGATGTAAATGCACCTCCTGTGCCTTCTTCTCGCGATACAGCCTTAACAATTGCAGCAGATAAAGGCCATTATAGATTTGTGGAATTGTTGCTTTCTAGGTAAGTTTTTTGTAATTTGTTGTGTTATAAATGTTTGTTTTATGAAATTAATTTTAAGTTAATTTATTTTTTAAAAATTGAAACATAATCTATTTTGATATAAAATTTTAACAATAAATTCCATTTAATGCTGAAGTTATTTTTTAAAATTATGAACAAAGAAAATATTGAATAATACAGTTAATTAATATTATAATTAATCCTTGGATTTTTTGGTGGGTAAAAACCATCAAATTTGTGGGTGGAATGATGGAAGAAAATGTTTAATTGGGTGAAAAATTAGTTGGGATAATTTATTTTGAAACAATCATGTAATAAATAAGCTTAAGAACTGATAAAAATTAACAAAAACTTTATTGAAATGAAAGTGAACAAATACTTCATTTTCATTATACTCTATAAAGCAAGTTCATTTTCAGTATAAAAATGAGAGTTGTAACTATGATCATTTCAATATTTTGAGACATAAAAGTTTCTGTTTATTGTAAGAATTTGCATGTACTTAGAAAAGCTTTATTCTGCATCTACATATACTAGTGTAGCATATTTGGTTTTTACAGCATATTTGTTATTGAGCAAAGAAGAATTGCAGCTTTTTTTTTTGCAAAACCATCCAGACCATTGTATATTTTGTAGTATCCCATCTCTGTTTTTAAGTTCTGAGCTTTTAGCTANATTTTCAGCTTAATAATTAAAGATATTTATACTTTATCTAAAAACTTAATTTTTAGGAATGCTGCAGTTGATGTGAAAAATAAGAAAGGAAATTCTCCCTTATGGCTGGCTGCTAATGGTGAAATTTATTCTCTTTTAACAAATTTTAATAAAATAAAATTTCAGTTGTATAATTTAAACAATTTTATTCCTTTTAGGTGGGCATTTAGATGTTGTGCAACTATTAGTTAATGAAAGAGCAGATATAGATAGTCAAGATAATAGAAAAGTTTCATGTTTGATGGCTGCCTTTCGAAAAGGTCATGTGAAAGTTGTCAAATGGATGGTTAAGCATGTCACGCAATTCCCATCAGATCAAGAAATGACTCGGTATATTGCTACAATTAATGATAAGGTAATTTTAATAGTTTAATAAAAATAAAATTTATTAAATCATAGTATTTATAACTGTTAAGCAAAGTAATAACTTTTAAATGTCTGTTTTAGATAATCATATCAGATGAGGAATGTTTACAATTTTATATAGTGCATTTAAATTTTAGAACTAAGTTTCAGGATTTATGTTGGATAAATATTTTTCCAGGGAAAAATATATATTGATAATATAAAAAAATATAGATGTGATGGTTTGTGATATTATTATATTGAGAAATTAGTTCATTTCAATTACTTTCTAAGTTATTTAATATTTAAAATAAAGTTGTTCATATTCTTTGTGAGAATTGCTGTCTCTAATGCTTTTTTTATGTATGCTGAATTTCTTTTTCTCCAAAATTTCAGGATATATGACTGAAAACAATAGGAATATGAAAGAGAATTCTCTTTCATATTCCTATATTGCTCATAAATACATTGAAAAATATAGGTGGAGGATGATCATATTTATTAAATTGAAAATTAGCTAATAAAAAAAAATTATCCCCAACTATAGTAAAAACACACACTAACAAACTAAAATAATTAATGATGGAATTCAGAAATTTAAGAAATTTATTATTGTTGTTGTTTAAGTTTAAATGATTTTCTCAAGAAAATATTACTAATAATAATTAATAATAAATAACAAAAGAATTACATTAAAAACATATAAACGGAAAGTAGCGAGAATATTCAACATATCTTTTATGAAATACATAACTTTGAGTACAATACTTTGTGACTTTTTACTGGAGAGGAATTATTTTCAGAATAAATATGAATATTATGAAAACTAGAAAATATTTCTTGTTGTCATAATTATGTAGAGATTTAATAGAATTAATAGAAATTATTTTAACCTTGAAATATTAACCTATCCCATTTTGGAAAATTTTTATGTTTATCTTTCCTGGTTGAATTTTTGTCAATGTTAAGCCTAATGAAAATTCCACATTTTTGAAAAAAATAATCATGGTTATTGTATCATCCAAAATTATTTTTTTATTTTGCACAAACAAAATAGACACATTAATAAACGTAAAAACAAAAAAATTCTATTTTGGAATTTAGTCGGCATAATTTTTATATTAAAACTATTGGCATCTAGTGTCAAAAATGTCTCAATGCAGAAACAAGATAACTTGGGTCCACAGGTCAAGGTCGTCATGTTTCAACCCAAGATATGTCTGGAATACTAGAGAATAGGATAAGTCTCTAAATTTGTTTGACATGAGAAAAATTTGACAAATAGTCTTTATTATTATTAATTTTTTCTGTTATTCTGTTGTAGTTATATAGCAATATTGAAAAAAAATCATTCTTTATAATATGAAATACATAACTTCAAATGGTAAATGTGGATAGTTATTTTTTTGCTAATATAATTGCATTGTTGGGATCATTACAGTACACTGCAGTTATTATATATTGTACTGTATTCCAGTTATACTCAGCAAACGTGATAGATTTTTAACACAAAAGCAGTTTTTACAATCTAAATTTTTTTAATTTTAGGACAGCGTTTCTCAAAGTGGGCGATAACGCCCCCTTCTGGCGCGATGAATAGATCTATGATAGAGGCAGGGTATTGAACGGTGACCAAAGGCAAAATTGGGGCTGATAAGAGGAAACATTGCATTTAATGGTTTCCAGATGATGAGAACAATGTACAGTAAGGGCACAAAGTGTGAGATTCATAGAAAAGTTTTTTCCTAAGAATATTTCCAATCCTTCTCTCACACAAGAGAAAATGGGTTAGGGGCGTTGGGTATAACTTTATGGAACAAAGGGGGCGGTGGATCGAAAAAGTTTGAGAATCACTGTTTTAGGAAATATCAATTCATTTCTAATGTACATAAATAATAATTTAAAAATTAATAATTATATCATTTACACATGAATTATTAAAGAAAATGCCATTTATTATATGAAAATATTAATCTAACCAAAAAACTGGTTTTTTAATACTCAAGTCAAATTAACCTGTGTTGACTTTGCTGCAGGTCAAATACTAAATTATATGTATATATTTTTCTAATCCAAAAGCAAGCTCAAATTATAAAATTAAACTTTTATATTATTGAATGTTTCAAATCTTTTACTGCAATGTTAACTGTTTTAAAAATTTAATTATAATTAGTTTGTTAAAAGGAAATAATAGATCAAATTCCAAATATAAATAAATAGTGCAAACACACATATTCTATATATATAAGGACATCGTACAACTTTGCTTCTTTCTTTTTGCCTCAATTCTATCGTGATATGACAATCCCTGTAGTTAGGCATAAAAGAGGCAATCCTTGTTCCAGACGGATATGGACAGGTGAACTTTGTACTTGGGAGAGGCAATCTTTATATCTGCCATCCATGGGAGATATGATTTTTCAATTTGCCAACATGGGGATGCAATCTAAGAACAAAGCAATTACTATTGATTGCTTTGTTCTTATGTTTTGTTCATTTTTCGTGCCCATTTTCTGTTAGGTGCACATAATGCTGTTTTTATTTTTAAGGCACACTCAGCCACATCGGAGAGTACAGACATTATCACTTTAATACCTCTGTATATCAAAAATGAACTCATGGACATCTGTTTTTTACATTTAAATAGACCCTTGTTACATTTTTGGATTTTTCATCACAATTAATGGAAAATGGCAAAATTTTATCAAAATTGGCCAATTAAATTTTGAGGACAAACTCAATTCTAACTAAAACTGTATAAAACATGCTAGTGATTGTAGAACATTGCATGACTTTGTTGTGCAATTCTTGTAATATCACTTTGTCGCACATGCTTGTGAAATGACCTTATATCTCAAAAAATGAAGTCATGGATTCCTATTTTTTATTACATTTTTGAATTCCTCACCACAATTAATGGAAAATGGCAAAGTTTAATCAAAATCAATCAAACATATTTTGAGAAAGAACGCAATTTTGTAAGTCACATAGAAGAGGCTTTGCTAACACTGTCTCAACGTGTATTTGTATCTTTTCAATATATTTTAGTTTCTAGAAATTGTTCAAATATACAATTAGTTATATTTGAACAGCTGATTTTCACATAGGAACCTGAAAAATAACTAAAAGGAATAAAAAGTTTATAATACACGTACCTCTCTGCCTTTTACTGGTGTGCTCCTTCCAACCAAATAATAAAGTAATTGCAAACGTTTTCAAACTGTTACAGCTCTTTTTCAGGCATTACAGAACTTCCTATTCAAATTTGTGTTTCCAATCTAATTTAAAGTTGTTATGGAATATCTTCTGGAATATTGTCTCATGCAATCAATAGCATCATTGCAGATCTGCACATTAGTGGTGCTGTGTTATTTTAGAGTTTCATTGAGTAATGCCTGCCAGGCCATTGATAGAGCCATTTCCTCTTTGTAGTTAATAGAATTATTGTTCTTAAAGGTGTTCAAGCATATATATATTGCCTCAGCCATCTGAGGTGGTCCATGCGGCACATGGTGTGTATGGCTTGAGGGAATATAGGTTCTATATCTGGGTCAGAGGAATATATGACCAGAGCTGTGTTGTTTCTTTGGTGTAGGATATCTGCTTTGTATCCTAATCCTAGTTTCAAGGGTGTGTTTAGTTGATCCTATGTATATCATGTTTCTATTACACCTGTGATCAATGATAGGGACAATGTATACTCCTGGGAGTTTATTTGTGTCCAGAGTGTCCTTTCCATTTCTTATCATATCAAAAATAGTAGCACACCTTCTAAAAGTTAAGCGGATATTCTTTTTCTTAGCTATCTCGTTGTATATGGCTTTAAGTACTGGATTGTATGTGACTAGGATGTTGTTAACAGGAGTATCATTGGATTGATTGCTGCAATTTGATTCTTGTTGCTGTAGTTTGCTGTTCATTTTGCATATGATGTCGTGGTAACCATGCTGTTTGGCTATGTGCTCTATACGTTGCATTTCTGATCAGAAAGCTGTTTGTGATGAGGAGTGAGCATAGGTTCTCTTTATTAATGCATTGAAAGCTGTGAACTTGTACTGTGGCAGGTCACGGGACAAGTTTGTGTATTATAAATACTCCGGTGTAGAAATTTTTAATTTGTTTATAAAAAGTTTAGTTCCTATAATAAGTTGAATGTATTTTTGAATTTAAATTATATATAGTATCATTATTTTTTATTTATGAATTTTGTTCTACTTTATTCTTTTAATTTACGGAAACTTTAATAATAATCTGTAATTCTATTCTGAATAAATCAAAAATGGATTGTTTATTTATTTATTTTTTTTAATAAGGAATTATTAAAAAAATGTCATCAGTGTATGGAAATAATAAGAGCAGCCAAAGAAAGACAAGCAGCTGAAGCAAATAAGTATGCGACAATTTTGTTAGAAGAATTAGATTTAGAACGTTCTCGGGAAGAGACACGTCGTGCTGCTGCTGCTAGACGAAGGGAACGCAAAAGACGTAAGAAAAAAGAAAAACAAGAACAGGTAAACGAAAATGATATATTTGCTAAACAAATAAGTGAGCATGGATGCCAAATTATAATTAATTAAACTAATATAAAACTTGAAATTAGATGTTAATGTTATATTAATTAAAAAACTAGATATAATATCTTCTAAGTCGTAAAAATTTTAATAAAACATTGTTACCAAATGATTGCAAATTGGATATCAAACATTCCTTTAACACCTTAAGTTCCCAGCAATTTTTGATATTAATGTAATTAAACATAAAAGGTACTTAAAACTGAAAAAACGAAAGAAATGCGTTAATTTTGAAGAAAAAGCTTCAAACTTTATTTTCCTTTGTCTGGCCTTTCTGCAAAATTTGACACCAATGAGTCATTGTTTGCACAGCTGGAGTTGGATTTCCCNTGATGATGATGATGACGAAGAGGAAGATGACGATGACGACAAAGATTTAGAAGATACTCTCTTAAATTCTTCAAATAGTTCTTGTAAGTTTATTATAGAAATTTATAAGTATTGTTTGTTAGATTAAATATTTTCATAAAATTTGTTAAAATTTACTTCACATATTTATTTCATAAACATTTTAAAATTATCATCTAGTTTGATATTGCTTCATTAACATTTTTATTATATTATGCGGTTTTTTAAATAAACTGTACTCTGAATGTTGAAGTTACTTTTGTTTGACACGATCATAGTTTTATTGAAGCATAGTTACATACAGGGTGACTCATAAAGTTGGAAACATTTTCTTACACTTATTATAAACTAGCTGTTAGTGATACAATAATATGGTGCATGTCTTTTGTTAGCAAAACTCTAGTTTTATTGAGCATATGCACTCAAACACTTCATATGAGAAGTCTTTGCCACTCTGCATATATTAACAAATATCAACTCAGAGTCAAATTTTTGCTACAGCTGCTCCAAAACATATTCCCATTTATGGATTCATTTGAAATAACAATTTGCTGTGTTAATTGTCAAAGGTCTTGTATTTATCTTATAGACAAAATTTATTATATATTTTTTTTTTTATCTATATAGTTGAACCTGTCTATCTCAAATCTCATGGAAATGAGAAAAATTTGAGATATAGAGCTTCCTACATGGTAAAAAGTAATAGGTTTGATTAAAGGTATGGTATTGTATTAATACAACAGCAAGTATAGTACATACCTGCATTAAGTGTATATAAAACATTTTTGACATACCTTAACAGAAATAATTTGTCGACAGTTTGATGCCTGACTATCTTAAACCAATAAGATACAAGCCAAATTCTTAGCCAATTGGAGAAAAGCAATATTAATTGCAACTATATACTCTATTACAACTACAATTTATGCTATCAAAATGAAGTTGATCTTTGGATTTGTAATTGCCACTTTAGTTCATAATTTGAAATAGAAGTTTTGGAAGAAAATTATTTCAGAAAAACATGGAATGTATGTTGAATTTGGACTGAAAATGAGGGGAAAATAAATTTCAAGATAAACAGATACAGGTGTAACTGTATATATGTATAAATTTCCATTTTCCAGTTCAATATGATTACAAATAATTTAGATGTAGCAATAGTATCATCAAGACAGAACATTAATGAAAACAAAATTATGAAGAAATAGATTACCTTAATCTAATGTGATGTTAAACTACAACTGAAAAAAACTTTTTAAAATTTTACTATAGTTAATTCTTGATAAAAAGTAGAAGGAACAGATGTGACTTTGCAGTTATAGAAATTGCCATTACTGTAATGAGATTGTAAATATTTCAATAAAACAATATGGTCTAGTACAGGCATAGTCAACATATGGCCCGCGAGCCAGATCTGGCCTGTCTAACGAATTTATGTGGCCCACGATTAATCTTTCAATATTAGCTACTTAAGTCTGAATAGATTGATGAAAAATTCTGACGCATATAATAAAACAAGAAAAAAAAAAAGGTCAACAACTCACTGCACGTTTAGAGTTAACCCTCCATTACAAATCTCGTCATAAATACAGCGTAGAATGTTGATAAAGCATGTATCTGTAATCTCTATGTACAATTTAGTCTCTACGAGGTGACACCACAATGAGATCTCACACCACCACAAAATCTTGCTAGGCAGTCTCTGGTTCAGCCCATGGAAAAAGTTTTCTTTCCAATTCGGCCTGGGGCAAAAACTGTTGGCCATCCCTGGTCTAGTATTATATTGTTGTTGCTCTAAGTAGGTATTAGATAAACAAAATTCTACATAAATTTGTGTTTCACCACAAGTAGTCCCAGACAATTGCCTGAACACTAACGTAATCATTTACAATTAACAAGAAAATATTGAAATGTGTTCAAAACATTGGATTTATCATTTTATACAAAGAATAACATTTTAGTCTGATATTTCTGAATATATAGACTAAAATTTTATTATACATTAATCAGTCTATTACTTGAGAAAAATACATGTAAATTAGGGTTTTACCATGGTGAGTATCATGCAATACTTTTGTATTTGGAATATCAGAAACTGGAAAGCATGGTTTGCTGACTTAAGAGTCAGATTCAGTATCACTAGGAGTGGGTTAATACAGTTACAGTAGGTACCATTGTTCTATTCACTCGTAGAATTTTGCCAATAAAAATTACTGGTAATAATTAATTCATTAACCTACCAAACTTTTGTCTTAGAACTTCAAGGCATTCATTTTTCTTCCATGCAATTAATTCCATGTTAATAGTAGAGTATTATCTTTATTTAGATTTCAGACAGTGTAAAAGATTATTTAAAAAACACATTATGCTATTTTTAAGTGTTAGAATTTGATATTATCTTATTTTTATTTGTATTTGTGATTTATACCTTTCTTATTGTTTTAATTTTTTCATTCAATTGTTATACCCTTGTTTACTATATTTTACTTTTTGTGGTTTTATTGAGGCACTGTTATTTGAAAGCTGTTATATAAGTAATGTCACTAGATAAGATACATTTAAAAACAATCAGTTGTGGATAGTATTATCGGTCATCCAATATTATGAGAATCAACATGTTTCAAAACATATATATTAAATACAGTAGACCTCCCTATAACGCGAAGATACGTTCCTCGTTACACGAATTTCGCGTTGTTGGAATCCTTGGGCTGTGATTGGCTCACGTATTTGACACGTGAAGTTTACGGACTATGGCTGTTTGAAAGGTTTTCTTCCATAAAATTAATCGATTCTAGACTAATTCGACTTAACGTTTCCAAAATACGTATATTTTTTTTTGTAAATAATCCGTATAAACTATGCTATAAACAAAAAATTGTAGGATTACTTACCGAGTGTACACCATTCAACATCGGCGTTGCTCAAGCTTGTTTTTGTTGCGGAACAGCTCAGCAAACCGCGGCCGCGATTTCTGATGTTATTTTTCTGCAAAAACTTCGCTGAACTTTGTAGACATCATTAATATAAATAATTTTTATCGCCGTTGAATAAGAAATGTTTCTTTCACAAGAAATGTATAAAATTACAGTACTCTATTAGACTTACGGTACCTAATTTACATACTGTACAGACGATAGTTCACCTAAACTCTCCATAGCGTGGCACTAGACGGCGGAAAATAGTTCGGCTGCTCGTTGGCGATGACATTTTACCGCGTTTTACGCGTCCCATTATACGAATACTGCCGGAATTTTTCTGCCGCATCATAGTAATCTATGTTATTGGAACCTGTGTTATAGGGGGGGTCTACTGTATTACAAAACTTTTACTTATTATAATCAGAAATTTGCTTATAATTATCATTTTGTTACTAGTGGCAAGTTTAAAATTTATTTTGATGGTTAATATTATATTGTATGAGTAATATAAGTTTTATTTAGATTTTTTGTGGTAGCTTATCAGAAATTTATTTTTAATTTATTGTATAATGCCAAATTTCAGCTAAGAGCAGCTAAAGCAGCAGCTGAAGAAAGTAAGAAGAATGAAACCAAAGCTAATGACCAAAAGAAAAACGCTCAGCAGAGCAGTCAGTCTGAGGCAGAGGATGATGATGATGATGATGACGAAGAGGAAGATGACGATGACGACAAAGATTTAGAAGATACTCTCTTAAATTCTTCAAATAGTTCTTGTAAGTTTATTATAGAAATTTATAAGTATTGTTTGTTAGATTAAATATTTTCATAAAATTTGTTAAAATTTACTTCACATATTTATTTCATAAACATTTTAAAATTATCATCTAGTTTGATATTGCTTCATTAACATTTTTATTATATTATGCGGTTTTTTAAATAAACTGTACTCTGAATGTTGAAGTTACTTTTGTTTGACACGATCATAGTTTTATTGAAGCATAGTTACATACAGGGTGACTCATAAAGTTGGAAACATTTTCTTACACTTATTATAAACTAGCTGTTAGTGATACAATAATATGGTGCATGTCTTTTGTTAGCAAAACTCTAGTTTTATTGAGCATATGCACTCAAACACTTCATATGAGAAGTCTTTGCCACTCTGCATATATTAACAAATATCAACTCAGAGTCAAATTTTTGCTACAGCTGCTCCAAAACATATTCCCATTTATGGATTCATTTGAAATAACAATTTGCTGTGTTAATTGTCAAAGGTCTTGTGGCAGAGGTGACACAGACTGTCTAAGCATTTTTTTTCTTTAGAGGTGTTAGTGTCTAGTTTGATGATTTTGGAGGTTAAGCACAACAGGTCAGATCAGTCGTGATAACATGTCCAATACAATGTTCCAAGTGTTTATTGAAGGAAATGCAAATTTATGGAAATATGTAAGGTTCATGTCTTCTAGTTGAGGGAAGAGAGACTCCTTTAGCATATCTATACACAAGACCAGTTATTATTGTCTCCACGAAAAAAAAATGAATAGTGGTCTTTCCTTTTGAGAATTGATTCAGTAATCATTCACTTTGGAGGAATCTTGAACATACTCTGTGGTGTGAGACCTTTCAGTTTCATATGTGCATCTTATGGTGGGTTCACTTTTTTTGCTTATATGGAACATTTTGTATGAAGAACTCATAATGTTTCTTTATAATAAGTTTCCAGAGCTTGCTAGCTGCATGCATCATGTGAGATTTCATTGATATCTTATACAGAACATGCGAGATGGATATCTGGTGCAGCTATAATTAACAACTTGGTGTGTAGATTTCTGTAGGCTACACTGGAAGACCTCTAATTCTGTCACATTCTCTCTCAATGCATTAAGTTGATTAATGTTCTTTCCTTTGCACAAGCAACTTTTCTCTTGACTGTTTATACCAATAGCATGTGGCCTTAGTGGATTAATTCTGAAGAGTGAATGAAACAAACGTTTCACCATTGCTAATAAGTTTGCTAGCTGCATAACACAAAACAACTTTTGTGCTGTGAAGGTACTATTTTTTCACACTCCCTGGCAACACAAACTTGAAACAAAGAGTTTGCTAATGAATGGCATACACTGTACAAACATAACCGAACAATCACCTCAGTAATCGAGCTATAACTCTTCTAATTTAATGATTAATACTAAATAATTTTCTACTAGAGTTAGACATTAGGTGCCATCTTGTAACTAAATTAATAATTATAATTTTAGTAATCTATTAAATAAATTAGAACCATCTGGAAGAAAAGAACTGACTTGTGGCAGGACTTGAACTTGAAACCTCTGCTTGTCATGCGATGCACTTGCCAAGAGCTGGAATACATCTGGAAGTGAATTTAAATACATCTGGAAGTGAAGGCTTGACCGAGCAAGCCTTCACTTCCAGATGTATTTAAATTTCAGACATAATCTTATGCAGTTAATCACGGTTTATCTGGGGACAACACCTACACCTATAGCCTAAGTACAACTCCACAATGGCACTCATCAGCTAATGTTTTGCCCAGCAGTGTGTGTGTGTGTCAAACATTGTGAAACCTGATATGTATATAGAAATATAGCAGAATTATAGCCCAATTATGTAGGCAATTGCTTGGTTATGTTTCTATATATGTATTGGGTTTTGCAATGTTTGATATACTGACATACACCATACTGTTATATCACTGTTACTTTATAAAAAGCACATGAAAGGGTTCCCGTCATTTTAAGTAACCCTGTAGTCATATCATACCATATTTGCAAAATATTTTAAGATAATTATTAATTACTGCCTTTTCTGCAAAAATAAAACATTTTTAATCTGTTTTTTGCTTTATAAAGTATAGAAATACGAATACAGTAGAGCATCGATTATCCGACTCAATTGGGGACTCAGGTTGGTCGGATAACCAAAAAGAATGAAAAAAATGCATTATTAGTATATCCCATACAATTAGTATATTAGTATATCGCTATTAACCGACTTTGCGTTGAATTTTCATCGATGTTAAGCCTAACAAATTCTTTAAAAAAGTAATAATCGTCGCTATTGTACCATTAAAAATTATTTTTAAATTATTTTATTGCTCACAAAACAACCAACCACTCATAATTAGAAAATTAAGTCTCGTTTAAATACTGGCCTCCCTTCAATGGTCGAGCCAGTATTGCTGGCTAAAACACGCAAAAATTTAACAAAAATAATATTAAAGTAGCCAAGACATAGCCAAATATTGTAGTGCCACATCACTAGCGGACATTTGAAATTTGTGGACTAGAACAGTCGGTTAACCAATGTGACGGTTAATCTGGGGTTAGATAATCGATGCTGTACTGTAGTTGTGTATTTTTTGCATTTCATTTGTACAGTTGGTTCAATTTTTTAAAAACAATATTTTATAAATCAAATGAAATTTATTGGTTTCAGGAAAGTCCCTATATTTGAGGATGTGACTTATACTATTTATATTTATACATTTTAATTACCATTGAATAAATTTAAAATATTTTTAATTAGATTCACATGATTATAAATTGATTGATTTAGACAGATAGGAATTGGCAACTATTTGAGATCATGCACTAGTATTTGCATGACTGCAAGCCCCTTACAAAAGGAGATGAAAATCATATTTTGTTTTTACTACAAAACAAACAGTCTTATGCATAAAATTATATAGTTTTGAAATCTTAGATGAAATTTTTTAAATTTTAGTTGCGGCATTTCACACTACTTCATAACACATATTACTGCAAAACAAATGACTTGTGTAAACTCTTAGTATATAAAAAATAAATTGTGACAGCAATGCATTTATGTTGTCCTGCAAGATGTAATAGTCTTTCCATCTATTATTAATGATCAATAAAATAAATTGCTCTGTTATCAAGAAAAAAGTTAAAGCTTGCAGAAGTAACATTCCCTGATAATGCTTCAAACTATTTTGTTTTTCTGTTCTTAAGGTTAAATTTTTCCAATCTGATTACTGCAATGCTATATATATATATATGATAAAATTTTTTATACAACTAATATAGTTTACTTGTCCTACATGTTTTTACATGTAGGCCAACATGTGTATAAACATTTAAAAAAATACTATTTAATTTATATTATTGACAAACTTTGCTTCAGTTGAATTTTACAGATTATGGTTTAATTTAAGTAAAATATTAGAAGAAAAAAACCTTATTTTAATTTTCATAATAATAATTGTTTTTAATCTTGTAGGTTTTGTAAATGATATAGCATCATGCAGGGAGAATGATTCACCAGATCATAATGAAGTATTAAAATGTAGGAATTCTAACGACGAAAATTTGCTAAATGAAGTTTGTTCTGTAAAAAATAGAAATATGTATTTGAAGCGTGAATCGAGTAGAGAAGATATTCAAATTAAATCAAGATTAAATTTGGAAGTTAAAGCTGAAAGAAAGAGAGATAGAGAGAGAACAAAGAATCAGGAAAGAAATAAAAGAAATGAAAATTGTAAGAGTGGAATTAGGGAATGCAGAATTATAAAAGAAAAAGAAATAAAAGTTCACGAGAAATCTACGCCAAGATTAGATTCAAATATTAATATTGCATCTATAAACAATGGTATAAATGGGAGAAATTCTAAGAAAAGAAATCTGAAACATGATCTTCCTTCAACAATTGTTACAACTATTTCTACTCTTACAACTACTACAGTTTCTGTTGCTAAACCAACTTGTACAGAAATGACTTCAGTTATATCAGCTGTAATTACTTCAGATAGTAAAACTCAGAATAATAATAATTGTAATGTTCTAAAAGAACAATTAAAACATTCAAAAGAGGTTATAGTCAATGGTATTATCGGCAGTTCACCTGTAGGTGATTTAGATGATTATTGTGCTTTATCTCCTGTACCATCTCGATGTTCTAAAAGTGGAAAAATTAATTTAAATGATTCAAAATTTTCTGGTCTGTAAGTATTTTCAAATATTTTTCAGCATTTTTATTTATTATTGTTTATTTCAGTAACTATAATTAATTAAATTTACAGGGAAGCTTTAGGAGATTTAGCTTTAGAACTTAGTCCAGAAGTGGCATTATCTGCTGGCTTGAGAAGTCCTACAACAATTGGTTTACCTCATTCTTTAAAGTCACCTTTAGCAAACAGTACTTCACCAAAAAAGGGTCAAAAAAGGGAAGAAGGTTGGAAAGAAGTTGTACGCAGGTAATTATTTAAAATAATTGAATATGTAAGGAAACAAATTATTTTTCATAAATTAGAAATATATCGGTAATTTAATTACGTAAAAAAATTCTTTATCAATATTAGATCAAAAAAGGTTTCTGTGCCTTCAAATGCTATTAGTCGTGTTATAGGAAGAGGGGGATGTAACATTAATGCAATTCGAGAAGTATCTGGTGCTCATATAGAAGTGGAAAAGCAAAAAGGACAGGGTGATCGAACCATCATAATAAGGTGAGTTTTATATATATATATATATATATATATATACAGTAGCGTGTCGATTTTCCGAAAGTCAATCATCCGAAAGAATTTCAGTCGGCAAATTTAAATTTTCGCCAGTGCTGTGGCACTTCAATCTTTGGCTATGTCTTGGGCTACTCAAATATTTTATGTTTTTGATACTAAATTAACATCTGAAGTATAATTTTTTATTATTTTTATATTTTTCAATATATTTATTTTGTTTGTACAAAATAAAATAATAATTTTTAATGATACAATATTCTTTGTTAGGCTTAACATCGACAAAAATTCAACGNGAAAATTCAATGCGAAGCGACACGCAACGGAGAAAAATTTCGACATCGTATACGTTAAACTATTTTTTCGTACGTAAATCAGTTATCCGGACAACCCCAGTCCCCAATTGATTCAGAAAATCGACGCTCTACTGTATATATAATTTTATATAATCAATAATAATATTTTAAAAATTTTATAATGAATATAATATATTTACTAAGATCTGAATTGTATGTCTGAATTTCATCCTTTAATAAATTATTTGAAGAACAAATAGAAATAATTTATATTAAAATTTTGAAAGTTAAGTTTTGTTACAAAGTTATGTTTATTAATGTTAATGTAATTTATAATAGTTTATTTGATATCACAACAAACAATATATCCAATAGACTATTAATTTAACTAGTTTTAATGTTTTCATAGACAAAATTTTTGTATTCTGTCAGTTTGTTTTCAGATAAATATTACTGTAGATGATGTAAAATATGTTGTTCATATTGATTTTTATATACTAATAAAAAAACTTGTAAAAGTGCCAAATCATGACTCTGTGAATTGTGAAAAGATGAAGCTGCTGCTTTATAAAATTTTAAAATTAAGATTCAAAGAGAGGAGAAAAAATTTTAAAAATCTAACATATACAAATGTTTTTTTACAAGTAAACTTTTTAGAACATAGCATGCTCCAGTGGAACATGATGCATATTTGAAATGGGCATTATGGTAAATAAAAACAGAATTTGAACATTGAAACACAATTGTACTTCAAAAACAATGAAGTTTCTACTTTATTTAAATCATTATACTATGCTCTGTAATGATTTAATGAATTTAAGATGATATAAAATGGAAAAAAAAGAACTGAGAAAATTGATTTTTTCATTTTAGAACACTATATAGTGCATACACACAACACAAGGCAATCTTCATTGTAAATTTATTCAATTGTTAGTTGATCAACTAAAAACTGAATAAATTTACAATGAAGATTGCCTTGTGTTGTGTGTATGAACTATATAGTGTTCAAAAACGACAGAAATAATCACCGACACAGTTTCAAGAAAATGAAAACATTGAATTATTTTAGACTAGAGTAATGTAACTGATCAGGTGTAATAAAACCTTTGTTGAATATTTTGAGATTGACGTTTAATCTTTTGTTAATTTAATGTTACAAGCAACAATCTACAAAATTCGTTAATATCTAATTAGTATTGATTGAACAGAAAGTTTAAGTTCACATTATTATTTCTTTTGTAAAGAAAAACTCAAATGTATTCCATAGATATTGGGTGTCTAATGAATTAAATATTTTAATTGTAAGGATTTTCATCTAAAAATTTGAAGTTTATTTTATTCATAATTACTAAAATTTATTCTAAGCATTTGAACATTTCATTAACAATTTACATTTTTAATTTTACAGTGTTCTTTATTTTTATTTTGATCCCATTTGCATCTTTTGATGTCAGATCTTTTTGTAAATGTTTAAAGAAAATAAGATTTTTAATTTATTTTGCATTGCATAATACAATAGTTAAAACATTTTTATTCACATTAAAAACTTTAAAAAATTTTTAATTTTAAACTTGTTAATTTATAATTAAACGTTTTGAATGTCTTAGTTTAATTGAAAAGTATTATTTTCAATTTTGTTATTAATTATTACAATAAAGGGGGTCAGCGGAAGCTACAAGGCAAGCCCATCAGCTGATAACGTCATTGATAAAAGAACCAGAACGTGAATTAAGTGAAATTCTAACTCGAGCAGGATTATGCAGGGTTCCTACTGGACTTGGAAGTGGAACGGTAGAGGGAACAAGATCTGCTGCTGGCAGCAGTTGCAGCAATACAACTGTCACTAGCACTGTACAGGTTGGTGGAAGTGCAATACAATACAATATTACTTTGTAGGTAATTTTTTTGTAACAAAAAGAAATATTATTTCTTAATGTTTAAACTTAAAACTATTTTGAAAATGTTATTAATGTTGAAAATATTTAGTAATGTTTTTTTCTAAATTTTTTTAAATTTCAGTTTAAAATGTTTAGACAAATTATATGTTCAAATGTACATGAATAACAATATAAATTTATTCTGCATTTTCTTTATATTTGTTTAATTGACAGGTAACAATAAAAACTCAATATTTTTAACTTACTATAATTCTTGATTAAAATGAAAATAATGTAATTATAATAATTATTTTTCAATTTATGAACAAACTGACTTATCAAAAACATTGATATTTTAAATTATATATATTTTTTTAAATAATGCAGAAGTGATTTTTATCATTTTTGCATTTGTTAAAGTAAAGTAATAAAGTTTCAGAAAAACTGAAATTTTGAAATGTTTTTCTGAAACTAAACTTGTGCAAGTTTAATATCATTTATATATTGTAAAAAATTTTTTAAATTCATCATGAATAATTTTTTAATAGTAATGTAAATAAATATAATTTCAGTAAATTTGATTAAAAAAATGATCGTGTCAAGAATCTTCCAGGTAATGAATAGTATGCATAATTTTTAGTATATTGCATTTCTTTTAAAACCTTTATTATTGAAGTGTATTTCTTTTTATATTAGTGTAATTCAAATTTTAAAACTGTACAAATAATTCTGCTTTAAGAAAAATTTATTTGGCATGTTAATATTTGAATTTTTAAATTGATTAATCTGAATTTTAAAAGATGTAAGATTTATTGTCTTAAACAAAAATCTCAACGTAACAGATAAAAATATCTAATTTCAGTAGGTAAGTAACATAGGTATTTATCTCTGGTGATAAATTTGATTCAACTACAGTAGTAGACTGTTGATTTAATGGACTTTGGATTTAACAGAAAAAAATTAGAACTTTTTCTTATTAGTGGTTAGAGCCTGCAAAAAAATATGTCAGAGTATAAATTACTCAATGTTTGTTATTAACATAAGCTTTAAAACATGTGATTTAAGGGTACATCCTACGTGGCAGCGTCCAGAGACTGCAAGCGGAAAGAATCTTTATATGCGTGTCCAACTCATGAGCGACTTCTGTCCAGAGTAGACGCGTGTTGTTTACAAAATGGCGGTGAGACAACTTTGTCGAATGTTTGCTACAGAAAATATGGCAAGCATTAAAATGGTAAATTTGACAGGTAATTGTTATCACTAACTAGATACACAACAAATATAAAGAATCTTCATAGAATAATAATTTTAAAAAGTTTTATTTTTAAAATGTTAAATTTACAAAATCAGAAATTATTAAATTACATAAAAGATTATTAATTCAAGTACATAGAACATATGTACACAATTTGTCATTCTGTTTTCATTCATTTACAGAATCACCCATTTTCTTCTTTGGAAGTGCAAGCATTAAAAGTGGCGATCAAACTTGCTTGGTAGCTGCTTTTTGCACGTGCATGTAGAAGCGTCATCTGGTGGTCACTGCACACTAAACAGGGTTACTCTGGACACGTGCATTTGCTTGAACCAGTTTGTTCACTCTGCTTGGAAGCGCGCTCGTGGTTGCTGGATGCTGTCACATAGGACAATAACATGAGCATGACATAGGACAATAACATAAATAAGACTTGGCAATAACAGACTTACCTTCCTCTAATTAGTCTATTAAATGGAGGGCTTACTTTATACCTTATTTAATGCCATATAATCATTCATTTACTACAGTTGAATGTTTTCAAGTTATATTGGTTTTTAATTCTCATTACAATTTATTTTTGTTTTGTTATATGAAGGTTTTTTAAATGATTCTTTTGCATAGAAAAAAAGTTTTAATCGATACTTTTTATAATTTTTATTAATAATGATAAAAGCATATTTGTTTTTGTTTTTATTGAAAATATTCACAACTCCAAAAACATTTTCAATAGAACAAAAAAAAAGATTCAGATTTATTTAAATAAATTTTGTTTTCATATATTGTAATTCCTCAGAAGTGCTATGAGTTTAACTATTCTTATGTTGTTTTTATTTCTGATTAATTATTTTATAGTGGTTACTATTAGTAGTCAAGATACACAAATAATTATTCTAATTATTAGATATTCATAAAATTTATATCATATTTGCCAATTATATGCTTTAATTTAAAATTTTTACATGTGATTTGTTTAAATTGTATGAAAATAAACATATATTTAAAAGTTAGTTCATATATTTAGTAAATTTACTGTTTGCTGTAAGGTCATAACAATTATATGTTAAGAGTCATCTAAGATCTCTGCACACATTATATTCTGTCATTTTAAAACGATTACACTGTACAAAAAATTAATTAAAATTTCATGACCTGTACATCAATAGAACAACAATTTTCAAGAATTCAGTACAAGCTGTTTTCTTTTATCTTTCCCAATTTATAAGATGAAATATATTGAGAGGATGAGCTCCAGCCAATATTTACAACAAAATAATCTAATCACAAGTGTGACAAGATTGAAATTGTCATGTGTTGCAGTTTGGTTGGTATTCTAGTCTTTCCTTTCACACTGTGTATTCATTTAATAGCAGTAGTGTTATTTGTAGTTTGCAATTTAATGAACTTTATCATTACAATAGATTTTTCTATTGATGATTAAAATTTTATTTTACTTTGTTAATTTTTTTTAAGTTAAGACTAATTCTAATCATTTTCCTACAATTAAATCAAGTAAGCAGTATCTTTATACAAATTTCCTTCTTCTATGTTGTATTTACTTATCTCACTTTGCATTACTTCTTTTTATATTGATGAATAAACTGATCATTGGTTTTATTACTTCAATATGTGAACTTTTTTACTTAGAATAATTTAGAATTTCACTTAGAATTCATTTAGAATCATTGTCTGATAAAGAAATAAGTGTTTGGTAGTGCACTGATGTTGTCTGAACAATGTGGGTAGTATGATTAGGTTATACTGGAATGAGGTACAAATTTCAACCATAAGAAATAATGGAAAAGATTGTCTTGTTTCTGGGAACTTTTTGAGAACAAGGTATTTTTGTAAATTGGGGTTATACTGTGTATTTTTAAATTCAAAATGTGAATGTAAAATTCATTTTTGATGGGAACTAATATAAAATACTTGAAACTCAACAAAATGAGTTTTCATATAAATTTGTAACTCCTAAGTCTGAATTTTTCCCCCAACCCATTAGAGTTAACCAGGTTCCACTATATTAACTGAGAAAAATTATGAGATCTTTATTTAAAAATACATAAGAGACATGATGTTTATTTTCTTAACACTAAAATATTTTTATCTGAATTACTGTAAGTTTAAATTTTTAAAATTTTGTTTGAATCTTCTATCAATGTAAATTTTTAATTCATATTTACAAAATGATATAAAATTATTAAAAAACATTATTTTTCAGAATTAAATTTTAGACTTTCTGTTGATTAAAACTTATTGTAGGATGAGAACTGTTCAAAGTCAACTCAAAAACTTGTTTCTCTCTTTCTCAGCTTAAAACTATACTATTTTAAATTCCAAATGGAGTAAGCATATCAGAAATCAGAGAGGCATTTAAATTAGAAAATTTTAATTATAAATTAAGCACTGTAAAAATTACAAGTTCGTATTGTAATAAAATCATTTATTGTCTCTATAATTAAATTAATTCAAATATTTAAACACATTAAAATCTTGATATTTTAAGAATTTAAAATTACTTAAAAATAATCATTCCATTTTCAGAAGGGAAATTATCAAGAACAACCACTTAATATAATTTGAAAAATTTCTAAATGACTAACTTTGAACAGTTCAGAGTTCAAATACTACAAGTTAAAACTGTGTGTGCAGTGAAAAAAGTACTTAAAGTATAAATACAATCTGTATGCCCATGTTCTCTCTCTCTTGCCCTTGTATTATACTTGTATGTTTTTAGTGTTTTTTCTCTAATTTTGGTGTGTTTGGTTATATACATTATATATTTTTTTAATAATTTCTTCCTGCAAGTTTTCTTGATTTACATCTTTTGTGACCTGTAGTTCAAACTTTCCCAAAAGGAACTTTTTAACCACATTTGACACATTCAAAACTTAAGAACATCTTTCCTGTACACATTATAAATCAATTTTGCAGTTTGTACGGTGTTTATATCCTTTCCAAAACTCATAAAGCATAACTACCTGATATACTCTTTATCTGAAGACCTTTCACAACTTGATTTTATTCAAATAAAATGTGAAGTAAAATGTTTATAATAAGCTTCTAAACAAAGAATACAATCTGACATTTAGCAATAATGTTGTTTAACTGTTATAATTAAATCACACATGTTAAATAATGACAGTTGTTAAAAATGGGCAAAAACTTTCTGTTCAACCCAAATAATCTTTATTTATTACTAGCTGTAGAAGCTGTAATAAATATTAGTAAAGTAGAAGCTGTTTTTCAGATTAAGCCTTAATCCTCTCCTTGTCTCCCCTGTGGGGGAATTTCCAAAAAACCTAGGTTTAGCAGTTTGCTCTGGGTGATGATTTCATTCAGTCAGGACATGTAATTTTATATACAGTGGAATCTCGCTTAACGAGCACCTCACATAAGGAGTGAAGTTTTGCATGATGAGGGAAGGGAAGTCGGAAATCCCAGATTGTGCGCATGCTCCATCATGCTATTATCTTTTTTTTTTTTTTTCTGCAAATTGAATTTGTGTTCCTGGTTGGTTTATTCCATGTTAGAAGAAAAGATGATGATGATGATTCACACTCCTTAACAATGGGTATGTTCGTAAAGTTGAATGAGTTAAACGAGAATAATGCCATTGTTATTTTTATTTCATTAGACTTTTCAAACGATTTGTTTATAACTAAATGGCTGCTTCTAAAATTGAAGATATGAATGTTGCTAGTGTAGCCTTATCTGAAATATTT